AATTGATCGCATTGACTAATTGATGATTGAAAATGCGATTTACTGATGAACAAACCATTTTTAGACCAATTTTACTGCACACTCACAAACGAACGAACCGATGCAATAATAAAGAGTGCATCTAGTAGCGCAGAATAGAGTTTAAAAAAAAGAGTCATCGCAATGGACGAGCGAAAAAAAAGTGAGAAATTTTTTGTTCGGACGAAGGAAACGAAATTATGGGCCTCTAATAATCGGTTCAATGAAGCACACACGCATTCTGTATCGAATTTATAATTCACATTTATTTGCTCCGTCTGTTTTGCTCTCGCTCTCGCTCACTTCATGCTCTCGAAAATGGAAATGCGTCAGTGGCGAGATACTAATGCAGTACCAGCAGAAAGTGTATGATTTATATTGCAGACTATGAATGCGAACATCCGAAAGTGACGTGTTGCATTTTATAATGTCGAATTGTGATAAACGGCAAATGCGTGTAACGCAACAACAACTCCAACTACCGTGCGCCGCAAACAACAAACAATATTATTGAATGAGATAGAGCAGAGAATAAAAATAGAGAGAGAGAGAGAGAGAGAGAGAGAAGCGTCAAATAAATAACGAATTTGTGCACATTTTATTGGCCGAACGTACTTGTCGGGGATGTTTATGGCCGTGCTTCAATGTGCATTCATGAAGCACAGACACCGAATGAGGCAAACAAACACGGGCCTTATGCTGACACAAACAAAATATAAATTTTTGCTTTATAAACTTTTGATAATATACAATTATATATGGTTGTTGTTGGTGTTGTTGTGTTTCTTTAACTCTTTGACTTTGCTACCGCATTAATTTTTCAGTCACTTATTTATCGTTATTGCTATTTGGAATCTCATCAGTTTTCCTTTCGACTATTTTCATATGAACACATTATATGTAACTTGTTGGTCTTCGATCACTTTGTCTTTGATCAAACTTCGAGAAAGGTCAGAATCACAAATCGCGCGCGCCATGAATCGATTTTTTTTCTTCGTCGTTTCGTTTTTGAAGCGTGCACATGATATTCTTTCAGTGCAAGCACGTAATCATAAAATTCCATTTGAATTTAAAATTCAATTCCGACTTGGGCGAATTGTGTATGTAAGTTTGAATCAAATATGCGCGACACTTCAGTGAAATCAAAACGATGGAACAGCAACAGCAACAACGAACAATAATAATAAAGTACGTAGAACGGTTGACTGGATCGTGCCATTGAGAGTTGCTTACACGCTTCAAATCCAATGTTATCGCCGGATATCAATGTGTCCAGTGAGCACTTGACTTAATTATAACATCGAAAACTTACCACAAGATGTATGACGACGATTACGCACCATCTTTTCTGTTATTTTTTTTCTCCGGCCTGTTTTACTTCTGAGAAATGTGCACAATGTTTTTATTGCCCTCTTTCGCTTTTTATCAACACTCTAGACACTGAATTTTCTATTTGGGTGTTCCTCGTTGGGTTGAAAAAAAAGTACTCCGATTTACTTCGAGTGTTTATCGAACTGCCCTGTTCTCAGTCTACAGGGAAAAAAAAACCGCTTTTTTTGGTGGTGCTGACAAATCAACGATGCTTTTCAAACATCTCCCACGATACTAATTAGAATAATCAGAAATCGCAACCACTTAACGTCATTTCCATTGCTCTACTTAAATTTTTTTGCATCGGATGACCGATTTCCCTACCGCACACTGACATACATATGAAATCTGATCATTTCGATTCATTCATGTGTTATCATTTCGAAGTGGTGTCGCTATCTCGACAGAAATTGGATAGCAATCATGGTTGAATCCGAATAGGGAGCGAGACGAGAGAAGGGAATCAGGAACAGAACGAGAGAAAAAAACGCACACAAACATGTGTATGCAGTCACACTCTACTGGAGTGGCTTATGAGGAGTAATAAATTAAAGCAGAACGGCAAGTAAAAACGCTCTAAATAAAAGAAAATGTGTTTACACCAATTTAGCAGCCACAAATAAACCAAAATGAATCGAACAATGGAACACCGGCTATGAGAAATGGATTAAGAGTGCACATGTTTGCGAGACAAACACAAATAATGGATTGGCAAATTTCCGTATGTCACTCAGAGCACAGCGACGTTTGATGGCACACATCATTTCAATGGCTTGTTTTTTTTTCGCTCAGTCTACACACTCAGTCGACTGTCGGCGCATCCCCAATTTTATCGTCTTTTCTCATCACATCAGCTTGAACATTCAATAGTGAAATTCCATAGCCAGAACATGCATTCTTCTCCGTGTGCTTTTTATCCGTTCATCTCTTTCTTTCTCCCTCTCTCTTTCTCGTTCGATTTTTGGTCTTTCCTGCTTGTGTTCGTTTTTCGCATTCCGTTCGTGTCAATCGCGCTTTTTATGCACCAAATGGTAATTGATCTTGTCAAACATCAATCGCGCGAAAAATCGATTTGTGCAAGCGCTTTTTTTTTATTTCTTCTCTCTCATGCTCTGCGCTGCAATTAAGTTGAAAGCCAGACTCTCGTGAACGAGTGAAATGGGGAGAGGGAGAGATAGAGAAGAAACAAAATGCAGCGACTTTTCAAGCACATTACAAACTGCATATCTTGAGTTCAGAAAAATTATAATGCGATGTTCATTTGCTGCGATGTATTCATCGGATTTGGTAGTTATTAGCAGTGACATTTTATAGGCGCATTTCGGTATGCTCTCTTCGGTTTATTTCGTGTTAAGTGACATTCTCGGGTTGTGCGCGCCATTTTTTCTTCTTCTCCCATGAATTACATTTCGATTTTGCCACGAGCTTAAACGTGAGCGTGTGAATGAGACAGAAAAAAGGGAAAATTTTCGCCAAACCATTCAATTATTATTCATGAATAGAGTATTCGGGGCTGCATTATGAAAAGCCACAATTGTGTTAAAAGGTACACACGCATATCAGATGCCATTGTGTTTGGTGTGCCGTTGTTGCTTATGTGTCATATCTTCGTTTCTTACGACGTGACACTGCACTGGGCCTCATAGAACAATGCCTTGACAGTTGACAAGATAATTTTTATTTATTTGTAGTAAAATAAATTAGTTTAGACTGTATTTTATTTCATTGTTGTTGTTTTGTCTCTTTTTCTCAGAAAAATGTGAATTTGTCATGAAATAAAGGCAACCAAAAACATGAGAGAATGGCAAATGTCTGTGCTGAAAGCAAAGGCACGAATCATTAACACACACTCGAAACCACACAACCACTCTCCCAGCAGATGAATAAAAAAACACGACACACACACAGAGAATGAGACACAACATTGAGAGACTGATGATGACGACTAAATGAATTAAAATTCCTGCCACATACATAGCAACCGTAGCATTGAGTTTTATTTCATTTTCGTTTTTGAATGATGTCAAATCATCAGCAAATAAATCGTCTGTCACACACTGAAACTGTGTACGGATATTTGTGTGCAATAGACAGTCACAACATGAATATTTTTTGACGGGCAAACCAGGCCCCGAATCCAAATCACAGTGAGAGATCCAAATTTGTGTAATTTTTCGTTGACATTGTTGTTGTTGTTGTTGCAAATCGAACGTACACATGCAAAACTACATCGAGTCAACAAAGTGGAAAACCGCCGTTCATACTGATTTATAAGACCGGCAATGACGTCACTTGTGATTATGTCAAAATATGTAATCATATGGTAATGAAAACCACAACATTTAATGATGATTGTCTCTAAACGAACGACGATGTTCTCGCTCACGCTTTTTCTCATCTCATTATCAAAAAGAAAGAAAAAATCGAAAAGTGATACACATTTTTCGATGGCATAATGACGTGTGTATGTGTACGTGAGTCACGTACTTTGCATTGACTTTATGTACGCACCATCATTTTCTTTGGTTTTTTGTTTATCACTCGCTAATTCCAGTCGGAAAATGCTTTTTACTCTCTTTCTATCTGTGGCATTTCATTTATTTGGTCCTCATCATTTCGAAACATGTTCACCCGGTGCTTATTTTGTTTAATTTGTCATCGTTCCTGTGGTGAGATGTCTCGCATTTATGAAAGTAATTTTCGTTTATGCGAAGCGTACAAAATAAAAAACGAAAAACCCGCCGAGTTTTATGTGCTTTGTACAAACACACAGTTTTGCTTGTGTAGCATTGGTGCGGATGCGCGTGCTGTGTCGATTCGAACCAAGCGCCAATCCACCTATTTCCCGTCGTTGAGCTGAAAAACGATGAAGATAAACAAAATTTATCTTTGGTGGCCAACAAACTTATACATCTTATACAGTGGCCAAAGCCACAAGCCAAAGAATGAGCAGAAGAAAAAGCAGAGGAGAAAACGTTAGTGTAATGGTCTTAATTGATGAATTCGTTCGGCAATTGTATGCAACAGGGTTGGTTTGTTTGTTTGTTGAATACATTCCATTACGGTAAATACATTTGCATTTTTTTTCTCGCTCAGTATTTTCGTAACACTTTGTGTTGTGCATGAAAGCCATCGCACAGTGAAACCATTCAATGTGATCAAAAATAAATCGTCACAAAAGTGGCCTGCAAATGGTGAATTAATGATGAAAAAAATGGAATCACTTCTCGATAAGATGAAATGTTTTTATTTTGTTATTTTTCTTCGCTTCACCCAGTGCGATATTATTGAAATGAAGGAAGAAAAAAATTGATTGCGTCGTTTTTTCTCTTTCATCGGAATGGTCATAAGCATCGAAAGAAACTTGCAATACGGAAATGGAATCGATTTAGTATTCTGTTTCGCCTGTTGCCTCGCGCACGCACACGTAATCAACGGCTCAGAAACCTGAAGTTCACGTGGGCGTGTGTGGGAATAAGAAAAAAATCGAAAGAAAAGCAAAACGTTGAACATTTCTTTTTTAATCCGCGGTGTCGTTGCTATTGTCTCTATTTGAAGCTAATGCGTTTCTTTCTCTTTTTTCTCCATTTTTTTCTTCTCTGAAATTATAGGAAATATTCCACGAGCATGCGATCCATTTGCGATGCCTGAACGAGCATTATCAATCGAATAGCCTTTTGTCATCAAATGTGCCCGAACTTATCAAATCGAACATTTTGAAGTGTTATCGTTCGGCCAGTCGACATGCACCGTACTTTATTTATGGCAAACCGGGCTCGGGCACCAGTTCACTAATTGCAGAACTTTACACCAATGTAACACAATGGTTTGACAGCAATACAAAAGTTCATCGGGTAATTCGATTCGCATCGGCAACGCCACGATCGGCTTATGGTTTGGAATTATTGCGTGTCATTTGTCAGCAAATTTCCATCATATTCAACATACCCGAAGGCTATCTACCGAAAGATGCATCATTCGATCCGGTGTATATCAATACATGGTTTCAAAATCTGGTGCGACGATGTGAAGATTTACGTAACGAAGTGCTCATTCTATTCATCGATGATATGCATAAGTTGAATCCATTGGATTGTGATAATGTGTCGGCATTGTCTTGGCTGCCAATTAGTTTGCCATGGAATGTCTATTTAATTTGTACGACAAAAGTGGCAACCGATTCATTGCGATTGACACAAATCCAAAAGGAGCGTTTCAAACAGGCCGATTCATTGTATGATCTCAGTGCGGATGCAAATCGTACGGTGCTCCGTAAATGTTGTGATACCGAAACGTTTTCCGACTACATTAAACGCAATTTTGATGAAATAGAACGAGATTTTGGGGTAAAAGGTTTCGGACGATTGGCCACGTATTTAACATGCACCGAATATGGTCTCACCGAAACCGAACTACTCGAATTACTGATGCCGATACACAATAGTGAAGCGATAATCGATAGCAGTCAAGGAGATTTTAATTTTTCCACTTTTCGTCATATTCGAAACCGAATGAGTAAGTACAAGTGCGGTCGTGGCATCGGTTGCGACGATCGATTAATGCATGCATAACACACACACACACACACACACAAACACAAGCGCATTATGAATAGAGAGTTGATGAGTTCGCCAATAGCAGCAACGATGTCAGAAGCAGTTTTGAGATTCATTGTACCATATGAACGTTGCCGTCGAGTTTATGGAACATGGCAATCGAATCAAGTCAAGTATTTTCAGTTTGCTGATGCCCTTATCTCCTCCATTTTCTCTCTCTCTCTCTGTCTCACTCTCTCTACCTATTTTACTCACTCAACCATGCCGCCGTTTATGTTTTCGATGGGAAAAAAGCTCATAGAATGTTGCCACTTCACATGCGAATAGACAAAAAAGTATCTGATAGAATAGAGATAAAGAGAGAGAGAGAGAGAGAGAGAGAGAGAGAGCGAACAGGAATTAGAATCTCTCGCTGGAAAAAATAAGCGATAAATCATCTCGATTATGATTTTCTCCATCGAAATGTGGAGATCGTTGTTCCGTTTTTGTCTAGCCCATTATCACCCATACTCCAATCATCGCTCAGTCTCGTTATAAAAAGCATTCCATTGCATTTGACAAACGGAAAATGAAGAGAAGGAGAGAAAGCAGGGGCTCACATATACGAAGAATAGAAAAAACGCAAATTATACGGCACTCCATCCAGATAATTTTCCATGGTGAATCAATCGCTTTATTGATTTATTCATCCACATCTCGTTGTTCTCTTTCTCTCTCCCTCTCTATCTCTGTCGTTTGGTCCAGAATCTCGATATCGTGCGCATTCAATCAACTCCAGAGAGCCATCAAATTAATTGATGAAATTATAGGAAATATTTAATCTGTAACAAGATAAGTGAGCGGGATATGGGCATGACATTGCATTGAAAATAAATCACCGGAACAGAACGCGACAGAAACAAAAAGAGACGTATGCGACCGCCTATTAACTCGATTACATGTACACTTTCGAACATACTCGACTCTAATGCACGGTCTCTCTATCTCTCGTGCTGGCTTCGTGTGAATTGCATGCCAAAAACAAAAACGAGCAATCAATTGATTTGATGAACATTAATTTTTGCTTTGATATGCGAGCGATATGATTCATCATATCACGTTGAAACACAAGCGCACACAATTTTCGTTTGAACGCTGTTTCCCCCGCATCCATAATTCATCTCTCACGCATCTTGTTCCCTACTCTTTGATAATCTTTTTCCATTTTTGATTTGATTCCGTTTAGAAGCGATAATTCGTCCGAAAATTATGTCTGGAAGAATATTGATCGAATGGAAGCATAGACTGTGTTCAGAATTGTCACGACAACGATTCATGGATCCGGATATTACGCGAGCCGTTCACATTGAAATTGCCAACATATTCTTTAATCAAGAGCAAGACGACAGCGACGAAATCTCAAGTGAACATAATAGCGCGGGTAAGTCATTTCGAAATAATTGCAGATCTTTCGTCGGCGTCGTCGTCGCAGACATTAAATTCATTTTGTAGACAATTTTGACATAAATTCAAATGGGAGCCCTCGGAAAAGTCACCGAAAAAATTATTTTTTTTTCATTTCACAATTGTTTTCGTTTTCTGTTTAGCAAATGAATTGTCGTTGATATTATGCGTTTGAATCAAGCGACAATTAGACAAAATATTGAGGTTTTTGAGGCGTTGAATGTTGTGCCATCATGAATATTCTGTGTAATAGCCGTGCAATCAGCGCTACTGATATTACAGCAGTCGATGATGACAGCGAAGAAAAGGGGGATGAAAGCCGATAAAAATATACAAAGAGCTTAATTTAAAAAAAGGGATCGTGGTAAAGTAGAGAAAAAATTTATGTTTGACATCTTGAAAAATGTAAACGTACAAATGAATTAAAGGATATTTGATATCTTGGTTTGGATTCCCTCTGGTCACTTTGCATTCTGAATGAATCTATTTTTATCTCAAAGCCCGACCAATTCAATCGTATGCTATCCGATAATGTCGTTCGCGAAATGAGTTTTCTTTGCTTTTCGTCCCAAAAATTGGATTCACAATTCCAAGAGGCAACAAGTAAATAATCAGCAATGAGAATAATTGAAAGACAATAGGCGAGGATCGGTTGTTTTCACAGTGGTTGTTGCTTTGATTCATGTGTTTTGTCGCACTGGTTGGGCGAATGGATGGGCGTGGGAATATGTACGATACTGATTCAATTAACGCTACTTCGTTTTTTTATTGCGCTGTTCTCTCTCTCTCTCTTTCTCTAATCAGACAAGCTACGCAAATTGAAAAAAGGATTAAGTTCATCACGTAATTTGGATAATACCATTCGTTCGTTCGTTCGTTCGTTTTTTTCACATCGCTTTTCTCCTCGTAATCTTTTGGCTTTATGTATTCGGCGACGAAGACGATAAAATACAAGCGCCGCTTTTCGACTGCATTGTCATCGACAATTATCATAGCATGGTTTGACATACCCACGATTCATTTTCCTCTTATCGCAGCACGACATTGTTTTTTCTCTCTTATTCGGCTTGTCGTTAATCAGTTCAGTTGTTCTGTGAATCACATTTCGGTTTGTGTGCTTGCCAAAAAGTCAGCTGCTGTCGATGTTTTTTGTTTCTGTATGTGAAGAGAAAATACGGCGACTCAAACGGGCTTTGATGAATTGCAAGCAGCTTACACGCAGTCAATGTAAAAAATGATGAGCCTGAACGAGAGAGAGAGAGAGAGAAGAGGAGCACATTTTGTGTAAGCAATAACGACCACAATCAAAAATGATTCACATTTTCTCCACAAATATTCATCATATTTGGCATCATCAAAAAGGCGATTTGCGACGATGAGCGAGCGGCACATGAAATGTTATACCTAATCGCATTCACCAATGCCATTTCAATCATAAACTGAGAAAATTGACAGACACACGCAAACACAGTGGCTAAATATAATACAATAGCAAAGTCAGCATTCAAAATAGCCAGGCAATGTATGGGCTTCGAGAAGAAAGTTTTGAGCGATCAACTGGAAATATGTTTCTTTTTCGTAAATGTCAATGCGCAAGCACAAGCACATGCTGCTTATAATTTATTCAGGTGATGTTATTTGTTTTGGAAACGAAAAGCCATTTGCCGAATCTGTCGCTGCTCATTCACCTGAATGGTGAGGGCGTGCGTGCGTATGTGGATTTACAATCGCAGATTATATGATTCATTTCAAATTCATTTTATGGCACACACACACACACACACATAAGTGAGAGATCATATTCAGATTGCAATCAATATGGGAAAAATCCGATGGAAGCTTTCTCTTTTTTCCTCGACGCGTCCGTGTCTCGTCAGAAAAGAAGCTTTGTTATGCGTACGACCAAATGTGCCTCGAAGAGACATAGCAAATTCATGTTATTCTCACGCGTGCAACTAAAGCGTCGTTTGTGTTATGAAATTTTTGCGCTTCGTCCAGTCAATAATCGAACTAATCAGAAAACATCGATGCAGCAACGGAAAAAACCTCAAACGTTTGAAGTCATTTCATTGTGAATTCTTTTTGGTTGCGGGTTGCTTGGGTATTAGGATCAAAATTTGTAATCGATTTTCCATTGTAGCGCAGCAAGATAAAGCAGGAAAACTTTCAAATATTCATTCAATTTTAACAATAGATTGTAGGGTTTGATAGGGATAACCGTGGTGACTTTGAAGATTTTTCCATTTCCAAACATTGTTTTTGTTGCTCGTGACATCGAATTTAATCCATTCTCTCTTTTTGTATGTTTTGATTATTTTTTGTTTTGTTCCGGTATCCTTTGGATGACGTAAACAATCTGTCTTGGGAATCTTGGTGATTGAAAATTATGCGGATGAACATCGATGGAAAACACATTTGTCTTTTCGTTTTCTCCTTCTCTCTATTCAATCTCGCTCTGTCTGTGTACCAAAATTGACACCCACCATAATATGACACTGATACTGATTGATCAAATCAACGGACGCGCGCGCAGATAATCCAAGTGATTCGGTGAGCAAATTGTACAATCCGTCGGGTGTCGATGTGTCATACAGTACACGTCATGTGGAAGAATCCTGGCATCATTTGATGAAGGCCGAAGATACGGTTAAATTTAAGCAAATTGCCGTTTGTAACTTTGATTTTCTACTGGCAGCGGTAAGTACTTCAAAATCATTGATTTTTTTCCATTTGTCAAATTACATGCAATTTTCGTGCTTTTTTTTCTGTGGTTTCTGCTATGCTTCACCATACGATAACATGGTTTTTGCTTCACTAACAACTCTGGTCGAGATTATTTTGTTCATTATTCCGCATAATGTGAACTTTTTAACAACAATGCACAATAAAACGAAAGTATGAGGGAACGATGAGCAGAAAAGCGCTTGTCATTTGGGTGTTTGCACCCTGTTCAAGAGAGGGTGAGAAAGAAAAAACAAGCCATGTCAATTGATTAAGTAGACAACATGAAATGTAAATAAAATGCGCGAAGTGTGAAAGGAGACGACGGATTTTTCTTCCTTCCTTTCTTCTTGTTTCTTCAAAAGATAACACCAACGAATGAAGGGATAGAGAGTGAATGGATTTGTGTGAAAGCAAGCGAATAAATTGAAAATACTACATCAAATGCACACTGAGTTGCTGCTACGAAATTCCAGTGCATTATTAAAATGATGTCGCTCTTTCTCTCTCTCTCTCTCTCTCTCTCACACACACACACACAAACAGAGCGCCAAATCCGTGCAACAGCTCGGAATAAAAGAAGGTCTGACTAAAAAGAGATAAAGTTGATGAAAACAAGTTTGTATATATCGTTGTTGTCGTCGTCGACTTGATAGACAAACGAATGGAAAATACATATAAAAAAAAACAAGAGGAAATGACTCCATTAACTTCTCAAATGAATCTGAACGACCGATTCAACGGACGCTCAGTATTTTGTTTATCCTTAAAATGGCGGCAATGAGTAAACAAGTTTTAGACGACACATATAAATACATCCACACAAAATCGCTGCTGAGGATGAGTGTTTGCATTTTGGATCGTCGCTATATGTATATACACAGACACACATACATTTTCCGTCTGCGTCAAGATTTGCACACTGAATGTTTATGTGTGTTTTATGCGACACAGTCATTCATCGTTTCGGTTCTTATCGCGTTGGAGAACTTTTGATTCCGTTGAATTCACACACACTCACTCTCTCTCTCTCTCCCTCAAACATTGTTTTATTTTGTCGTGCGCTTTTTATTTCGCTGTGCAAGTTTTTGCTGCGTTCTGTTGTCACATTTCACTTTACAGTTTTAGGACAATGAATTGTTGTTGTATGCGTGCGTACGTAGAACAATCGAATGATCAATAAAATGGAATAAATTGTGACGGAAATTCGCTTGAAAAGCCAAAGCCAAAGCCATAAAATGGATCTATAATTTCATCTGTTTTTTTTTTCTTTCTCTTTTCTCGTTTTTTTTTCTGTCTTTATTATCCATGTGGATGCTTTGAAAAAATTACGGGCAAAAAACCACTTTTTCATCATTCGCTCACTTGGTACATCATGCGAAACAAAACACATCCACCGTTTCAATTTGGGTTTTGGATCATCGGTTAAACATATTAACAAATATGGGGCCAAATTGTGACCACCGACAACCACAATAACAACAACAACGATTGGTGACCACGATCAATATTCGATTCGTATGATTTGCTCTACATTTTATGGCTGTGCTCCGGTTTTAACATTCGGTTGGTCTGTCTCTCTCCTTCATTCAAAAACGAAAACCACTGTTGCAACCGCATTAAATCGATTCACCGCCGTCGTCGTCGTCGTCGTCGACGCGAATGTACGAATGGGGCGAATAATAACAACCAAAACAATAATAAAAGGTTCAAACCGTGTCTATTAGCTACTTGAGATGTCTCATCGAACACGTGCGTTGCTATATTCTCGATAGAGACATTGAATTGATTTATTACACCATACGAAAATCAAGTGATGTACTAACAAGGGATCCCATGCAATTGGGCGCTCAGGTAATTTATTTGACAATTCTGAACCGTTTTCTTTTCTTCTTCGTTCGTCTCATCGAGAGAAAATCGAAAACCCGTTTGCACACTCAATTGCAGAGAGTGACAGCAATGTAGATTATTTGCCATTCCATTGTTTGATTATGGGTCTGCTTTGGCATTGCATGGTTTTTGTCAGAAAAAAAACGAACAAATAAAATATGGGGGACACTTAACATTCAATTTACTCTCTTAACGTGGCGGATATTTTGGCGCGTAATAATATTTTTTTTTTCAATCACATTATCGAGTGTGCCACTGAGTCATTGACACGGAAATTCTCGGATAGACACCGAATCAAACTGTATGAAATGGCACAATAATATAAACACAAAGGCCAATAAAACTGTATTGCACATTAAGTTTGTCGAAACATTTTGTTGTGCTGATAACCGATTTATGTGATAGCAACATTTTACTACTCTACTCTACTCCATTGTTTTGGTTTTTCTTTTTCTTTTTTTGCTCGATGTGATGCTGGTTGTTCTCGTTTCTCTTTTCATTTACTGTTTGTGGCCACCGCTACTACAGCTAATTTCGTGGCTGCGTCCAATTTCGGAACATGATGAAAATGACACATCTTTGCTCAGCATCACCGTTCGCTCAGCAACTGCATGGTAAGCCACACTTTGTTTTACCTTCTTTTGTTCTTTCATTTGTTTTTATCTCGCCAATTTCACAGCTAACATACGATTTTTCATCGCAATTCCTTATCAAATGTATACTATGTCTTCTTTTTTCTTCAACGTTATTCTAGGTGTGATGGTATCACTTCAGTTCCACTACTTGTTCCGCTCACCGGATGGCTACCATACCCACTGCCGTCACAAGTAGAATAAGCATTTTTTTTTCATTTTCAGCAACACCAACGAATCATCTCTTTCATTTTAGATTCGGACAATGACGGTTACAGGCACTGGCTTGATTCGTTCCATTGTAATGGCACCGTCAAAGCAACATTTAGTCATTGCACCACAAGTTGGCGATGCTCAACTCTGGCATATCATGAGCAATAGCTTAGTGCACACATTCAAAGGTATGACATTCCGATCCTATCGTAACCAACAAACCAATCAACCGAATACCACTTATGTGTAACGAAACACCTTTTTGTTACCAAATCCCAAATTGCAATTGGCTCAATCGGGTCTTCCGTAACCTGGCAATGAACCAGCAAGACTGAAAGGAGCAACAGCATTTTATAAAGCAAAAATTCCGACATTACATTTATTTATAGCCGCACAAAATTGAATCAAATTCCTTTGATGAAACCATACAATGTTCCATTTTCTACACGCACACCGACGACACACATACACACGCTCGGATTACAATCGTTCGGCTGAACTTGATTGAAAGCATTCCTGCAATTTTGTATCAATTCTATGCGCATACCGTATTTATTCGAAATCGGCCCATTCTTATAATCCTATTCTTGTTGCCATGTGCATCTTTTCAATTGAATTGTCGAAACCGATACTTTTAAGCACATATCGTATCCACTCCTCTTTGATATACATTGTTCATCGAATTCGAATCGCATTTCTATCGGTAATTTTTTAAAAACAAGGGGCAGAGGTCATAGATGGCAGAGCATACAAATTTGATTTCATTTGTATTCAATGTCTTAATTTGAGCTTGATTTAAATTGGAACAAACAGTTCATGTTTTTGATTATTATTTTTTTTTCAATTTTGTGATTTCTTTGGAACATTTTTTTTGGAATTTTCAAGAAATCTTCAGAAAAAAAGTTCTTCCCCATTTTTTGGAAGATGATTGAAACAATGTTTTCTGAGATTTCTGCAAAATACTGGCTGTGTCAAATTTTGTCCCTCTCATACTAACTGCTCCCACACTTCGTTGACCCATCATTAAAACGAACGAGTACATTGTCACGGCCAAAATCTATAGCGTACTTTGATGAAAATATTTTTTTAAAAAATTCATCAAAATTATGGAATCATTTGAATGAAAAATCGTCGAAAATGACTCGTTGATTCAGAAGCCCCTTGATTTTGGATCGTCGTTTCATTCGAATTGTTCTTCTTGAGAGTTGTTCGCTTTGGTGCAGCTCGAGCTATTCAGCCAAGTCATATCTTTGGGTCGAAAGGAATTTTCTTCAAAATTACAACGAGGTAATACTGATCTCGATTTATCGACTCAATTCCATGGTAATCGTTCATTCAACTGAAACATGAATGTGCATTGAAAGCATTTTCAGCAGGTTTGAGAGCAGCACAATAATAAATGTGTGCGGTGTGTGTGTATTTATATTTTCAATGTCATTTTAGCTTTGTGTCATTTCAAAAATGATGTTCATACGTACATAAGTCACGAATAGCCGAAGAGTTTCGGGTTTCGTTTGGTATGGTTCATTGGTTTATAGATTGCAGGGTTTCGATATTGGTCAAATTGAGTGATTCGGTGTGCTTCACACGTAGCGCTTTGTTGGCTTTTCGAGTCAACTGATTCGATTTTTCTGTTAGATTCAAATTGTTTCCTTTTCTTGTGTATTTTCTTTTCACATTTGTTTTTTCTATTTTTCTATTGGATGCACATTGTCAGGTCACAACGGAGCTATCACGTCGATGATTGTCCCACAGCAATCACAATATCTTTTAACCGGATCTGAAGATACATCGGTCATAGTATGGGATATGAAAACATTATATATGAAATTAAGAGTTAGGTAAATATAATGTGCATGTTGGTCGGACGGTGAAGGTGAAGAATGGCGGAAATAATGATTGTTTTGATGTGGATTGCAACAGACAAATAGAGTAGTTACAATGTCGTTATTTGAATGACGGTGATGTACACCGCACAGAGCACTATAACATTTTCAATTTAGTGTATTCGTGTGCGAAGAAATGTCATCATCATATTTTCACTTGATACAGCCCAATCATATGCTTGAACAACAAAAACGAGTACACACTTGTCAATTCAATGGTTTGCGCGTTACGTGAATCGCAATCCAATGAACTAAGCGAACGCAAAGAGATTCCATTCGCAAACAAACAAGACAGAATAGAACTCGACGACGAAAAAAAAACACTATTTTATTCGGAATATTTATGAACACAGAACATAATATGGTTCCCATTAGAGAAACGTACGGCAAACCAATTTTCAGCGGTAATAAACTGAGCCACTCGCTCGTTGCAGTCAGCCCCGTTTTTCATTCGTTTCATTGCGATTTTGATTGTCTCTCTCTCCTATTCATGGAATACATTTCTCATAATTTTTTTTCCCAACCAAATGGTAGAGTACATTTTATGATTTGTCTGTTGTGATGATAAACCACAAAAACAAATGCTCAACGTGCCATTCATACCGGGTATGATGGTGGTGGAAGGGCAGGGGATTTTTATCTCTCTCCTCTCATATTCACTAAAATTACATGTAATAATTTTTCCGCTTTTCCAGGGAACATATTGCGCCTGTAGCTTGCGTTACTTCGGCTATGGATAACACTATTATCATAAGTGGCAGCGAAGATTCCAGCATTTTATTGTCATCGTTCTCAACTGGAAAATTGGTATGCAATGCTTTTTTCGACTTTTTTCTCTCTCTACTTTTATCCCTTCTATAGGTAGGTTTTTGACAACTTTTATACCATTTTTTTTAGTTAGTTTTTATTATGATTAATATTGTTTTTTCCCAACTGTTAATTACACACCTATTAATTCTATTCGATAAGGAATAAAATGAAAGTTTTATGGTTGGTATTTGGTCCCCGTTTTTGTGCTATTTCTATACGATTATGAATTTTAAATGAGCAATTACTATCATAGCATTTCAATGGATATATATATATATCAATTACGGCATTTCATTGGAACGAGCAATTGTTTTCGTGGATGAAATGTCGTTCGAAAGCGAAAATCGATTCTCGTCAATAGTCTCATTATTATTATTATTAAAATAACGTCGTTAAAGTCACTTGATATGCTGCTACTCACAGTGTGTCAACAAATCAAAATAATTTTACGCTCGCATATAAAACAAGGCGATCAATTAATGGCTGTCAAAATGTATTCCGGCAAACCATTTACGGGAACAACAAAAACTGAACATATTTTGTGCCGAAGCCACGAGACGAAAAACAACATGTTCATTTTTGGACGTTTTCGGTATGCAGCGAAACGGTTTCGTTGTGTCAAATCTTTATGGTGATGGTGAAGACGATGTCAAACAATATAGAACGCTGAAAACTCGTTGATAACTCAATTGTTTTTTTGCTTTTACCCGCTTTTATCGATGTAGCAAAGAGATTTTGATTAGTTTCACGAGAAGTTTTATCACCCTGCATAGTTTTTGCTCAATAACACGACGCACCAGCGAAGATCGTTGTGCAGAAAGCACTTAAACTATAAAACACGAACATTTTTCTGGATAATTTTTCTGGGGCGTGTGTTGTGTCTGTGTGGCCCTATAAAAACCATAATTTTATGTCATTGTAATAACGTCTTAATTCGAATTAAATGTAAAATTGCACTTGCTAAAGCGATTCGGTGGGGCATCATGTCAGGTGTCTTATAAAAGCCATCGTAAAAAAAGCGTGGAGACGCCACTTTGCAAAGACAACGACGATGAAATGACGCCAATTTTATATATATTTTACAATATTCAAAGAAAGGGAGTAAGTGTTTTGTGATGACAATAACATGGAAACAGTTGGGTGTGCTCTATAAAATGAGCGTACGGAGAGCTGTGCATCGCAATAAAATACACTTTATGGGAATCTAAAATTTTTGCCCTTACACACAGAGAGACACATTCTCTGTGTCTCTCTGCCGCCATAATCTTGATAATCTTGACAAAAAGAAAAACACTGAAACCACTTCAGCGGAGAGAGCAAGGATATATATGGATAAATTGTCTTATTCTCAAGATTCTTCAGTCTTGACAATTTTTCTTGCCATCTTCTCTTTGTCACATTCGCCCCGCTGTCGATTTCGTTTTTGGCTTTGGCAGCGAGCGAGAATTTACCGGATATTTTTCGACTCAGTAATTAAAGATTCATTAAACGATTTCTTTCAAGAGCCGCCTGGGAGTATAATTAAATTATCTGCCCACAAAGCCACACACACACACAAACACACAAACACACACACTTACAGAAATGCCTCGGCACCATCGAGTTATGGTATTAAAATATTACGCAGAGATTGGTGCTAAACGTGAAAATAATTTTCATCCAAAGTGTGCGCATATTTCATGGAGTCACAGCGTGGCGGAATAGATGGTAGCCAACGCAGTTGCCACAGATTCTTGATTATGAAGTCCATTATTGATATTCCATAAATTAAATTTCAGTGCGTTGTCGACCATTCCCACCACCCTCCTCCTACCTCTAAATCGATTGTTCTTCTTGAAACAATCAATCGCATATCTTTTGTTGTTCAGCATTATGCCCTACGCAGCATACCCAATGCTAACCATGAATTATACACGATAATGATAACGTTTGCATGATCGATTCCAAGCCAAACGAGTCGATACACAAGAGGAGTTATGATATTGAATGCAAAAGCCAATAAATCAACCATCAATGATACAACGAATTGATCATTCGATTTTCACAGCAATGATTTTAATTTGATGCCATTTGGCAAAAGCGAAATTATACGCCGTCGCTCACACAACTAATTGCCATTGTAACATATGTGCGTGTGCGTGTGTGGATGCAATTTGTGTGTGAAATACACAAGAGTTCAAATATTGGCACAAAATACACACAAAACACACTTACTCGCTCGTTCAAAAATGGCAATAAAATCGAGCCTTTGAAAATGAATCAATCGTCGTTGAAGTCTCGTAGATCATTGTTTGCTGTTGGTCAAACACCGTGAACATAAAAATTGGTCCAGCCGCCACAGAGCACATACACACACATACAAAAGTGCCAAAAATCCAAATGCAAACTGTTTGACAGCATCACTTATGCGATTCAAGTGTTCATTTTGATTTATTGCCATCGGCTATTTGGTCGATATGCATTTTCCAAATCCACATCGATTTCAGCATCAGCTATTTGACAACACATAAAAAGGCCAATAATATCTTGCAATGCCGGATTTAATCTATCTTTTCACTCTGCTCCACTCTCCGTCTCTCTCTCCAACAGTCAATGACAGATAGCTGAGGATATATGCTGAGCATAGAAACTCAGTAAGCTGAGATTGGGACATTTTGGCTTTATGACGTGTAGTCCATATAAATGCATGATGAAATGTACGAAATTGTATGCGTGCCATCATAAATTTGTATGGACTACACGTCATAAAGTCAAAATGTCCCAATCTCAACTTATTGAGTTTCTATGCTCAGCATATATCCTCAACTATCTGTCATTGACTGCTCTCCAATGAGATAGTCCTTTGCACTGTGACAAACATTTGTCATTTGTTGGAATAACGTGAGCAGCATTATTTATTTGACATTTAATAAATATTACATTTGCATCAAACTAACGTGCAGGCTACAAATAAAAAAAAGAAGCCAAAATTGGATTGGCAATGGACAATTAATGAAAATATCATGATTGAAATGAGTGGTCAGGAATAAAAATGACTAAAGTCATCTATATGGATAAACGTATCACGATGCATTTTTGCTTCAATTGAAGTTTATAGTCAACAGATATTGCACGATTCACTTTCAAGCAAACAGAATTGGTGTTGCACTAAAAAAAAACGAAAATTCCGTGATATGCTCAAGCTCATCCACATGTTGATTGAGTTCAATTATTTTCATTCCCGATCAAATGCATTCCTAAATGTTTTCATTAAAATATTGCGCTGAAAATGTGGGTAGAAAAAACCGCACGGTCTCTATAATTCACTGCAAAGCTTTGTACCAGAACAAAAGAGACAATGAGTGGCATTTCTGGCTGTTTTCCACATCGGCATGCTTTTTCTCCCCCAGTCATTTTCATCAAGTGCCATATCGAAAGTTCCCACATAAACCGCGTACATATATGTTTAACCTCATCCATGTGACATCGTGTGCATTGTTGCTGGTTATCTCCATTTAATTTTTTGTTCTTACTTTTAGTATTTTTTTTTATTTATTTGAACAAATATTTATTAATTTCATCGTTTAAATGCATTTTAATTGTTTTGCAATTTGCGGTGATGTGCATACAAACACATTGTGATGAACGACGATGACGATGACGCGTGCAGATAACGAAAATTGATCATCATCGTGGTCCGATAAGTGGTTTGCAAGTGAGCCATATCAGCGACGTATTAGTTTCATCGAGCCATGATTCAACCGTCTGCCTTTGGTCATTGGATGATTTCACGTTATTGAACACCATACAACTCAATAGCCCGATATTAAATATTCAAATATCCAACGATTCGGTGAGTGGGTTTTTATTTAGTTTTTAGCTTTAGCTGCCATGCAAAATGGATATTAGAAACTACGGTTGATGAGAGTGTGTCGCATGCTAATCACTTTCTCAATTTTCCGTATTAATACTGTAAAATGCCGATAGCAAAATTCGACAGTAGTGAAATTGACGAAATTACAGCGAGTAAATTTGCAAGTAACACACATACGCGTGCAAAAAATACCGAAATCATACCAAAGACCATGCTGCCAAGCGCCCAGATATTCCACCGTTCTTTTTTCCATTTCGTTTGAAGCTAGGGGAATTCATCATTCAATGCAGTTTGTATGATTGAAGTCTTTTTCCAAATTCAAACAATATTCTTATGTTTACAAACAGATTCAGAAGATTCACTCAGATTCAACACATTACTGTGAACGAATCGTCATGAATATGATGAATCTGATGAATCTCGTGAATCCAAATTGAAAATGGCGACAAAACTGTCAGTATTGAATTTCAGTAAACAAAAGATTCATAAGATTCGTAAGATTCACACCATTTGGAAAGTGAGTGATTCCCCTAGGTTGAAAGTATTAAAGTTCATTTTCAGCATAATCAGTATGATTAGAATCAATGAAGGATTTTGAAGCGCATCGCAAATTGCTTTTGTATTCAAGCTGCTGCAAAACAGCTCGATGAACAAGTTTTAGTGTTTGCATCAACACGCTGTTATTTCCCTGTAAGCTGATTTGAGTGATCAGTGGATAATTGAATCAAATAAAAAGAAGCGTGACACTCTCGTGCTGCAAGCAAACATTATTTACGGTAACGCATCAATTATCCTCGGTATTTTTTTTTTGTCATCGATATGGGCGTCATATATTTTATTTGGTTGCTAAAATTGATTTAAGGTAAAAAGAGTAATCAAGCTGATATCAATTTATGACAAATGTTCATCCAAAAATGATATCTGCATTGTCAACTTGACAATGTCAAGTACTTCCAACGAGTGTTTGTGATTGGTGATAATGTCGAGTAGAAGAAGTTCTGGTTATGAATTACTTTGCCATTTGATCTCTTCATTTCTTTTTGACGTATACGGATTAAAAAGTGACAATTCAATGAATCTTAAATCGTGTTTGAACATCTACAAATGTTCCATTCAAATGTTATTTCTAAATGATTGATAGCTTCGATTGCACGAATATACTCGAGTTGTGTGAGACCTTTGATCACTTGTTTACAATGAAAACATGTGATTGAATTTCTGTACATGATTGCAATCAATAATAATGTTAAATGAGGCAAAACCGCTAATTTTTGTTGTTGTGTTTTCTTAGAAAACCTTTCCAAACCATATTCAAGAGGCTACTTTGTTTCAAAGGGATAAGACAATCAAATAAAGATCCTTTTTTTCTTAAGTGCCTATCTATTCATAGCGTTTGTGTATTGGAAATTGGTTCTTCTTTCTGAGAAGACTGTGACTGAATAAACTGATGGTGCGATTATAATACGTAGAGCCTACTACAGTGATGAGTCACGTCCTTTTTTTAAAAAAATCTTCCGTTAATTGTTAGGGATGTCGAAAAGGGCCATAAACAACTGATCACTTATTGACCATCACAAACTATTTTGCTTGCGCCACTCGCATTCACTGCTCTTCAAAACCATGGTGTGCAAACGCTGGAAAGTAATTTATGCATAAATCCCATCCGTTGCATCGACTGTACGTTCCTGTGCACTTGGTTAGACGGTATTTTAATGCGATTCCTATGGATCTCTCTCCCTCTTCCTCTCACAGTGTGAGACTCGCACACCGTGTAAATGATACAAAATATTCACCAGTCTTACTATTCCAAGAACTTTGCCTTAATATTGCCAACGAGTGTGAACAGTGAACACACTTGAAATGCAAACACCGCACTCGCTTGGCGAAAATATCATGACGAGCTTTAGCTCACGTGACGTGAAATCAAGAGCAAGAGTGAGTGTGTGTGTGTGTGTGTGTGTGTGTGTGTGAATGCAAGTAAGAGATGAAGATGAACGCAAGTTTGACAAACGATTACGTGAAAAAGGTAAATAAATGGTGTGCTTTTGTTACAATACGTACACAATTCGCTGGGATAGCGGATAGAAATAGAGAAATTAAAGCGAAATTAAGCGCGGTATATCTTTATTTCATTGAATTTTGAGCGTGTGTCAATTTGCACGTGTTCAATTTCACATCTCACTAACTAATCCTATTAGGTGCTACTGTGTATGCTGATGGTGCTGGTACTGTTACTTCGACAATATCATTGCCGTTTGCTTTCTTCGGGCGACGACACAAAACTGTGAACGATTCACATTTTACGCGTCTGACAATCGTTTGCGTTACGATAAAATAATTTTCTTTAGATGCGATTTAATTCTTGCAGCAATGCCAACATACAATACATAATATCGGTTTTCTTATTTGATCCTTTATACTGATAGCATGTGTTCTCTCCTTCTCTCACTCTATCCGCTCAACAGGTATTCTTATTGGCACATTGTAAGGATAATGGACTATATTTGAGAACATTGGCAACGGGCACCGAACTGCACAGTCTTAAAGGACACAAATCAAAGGTAATGATAGTGACACTAAACATTTCTTCATGCGAATTTGATGATATCAAACGAACGAATGAACGAACGAACGAACGTGTGTGTGCGCGAATGCGTGTTCGCGAAAACGACATTCGCAAAATGTACGAGTCATGAAATTCAATTTTCGATTCAATAACAAATTCCAGCAATCGTCTGATATTTATTTTATTCGAAAAAAAAATGAAAAGAGACGAACGCGATGAATTCGCTATTCAATGGTATCGTTTACGTGAGCGAAGCGGGCACACACACACACACACAATATGTTCAACAATGGAGAAAATGTTTGAGCGAAAAAATAAAACAAACACATTATCAGAGGAAGGGAGAGAGATAATGTGGAATTTTCACCGCAAAGACTTGTTTCAAAAATATGTTCACCATTTATGAATGTTAGGTACGTGCCATAACGATGGCGATGGATAGTCAACGTGCAATAGTCGGTTGCGATGATACGCGTGCATTAATATTCGATATGCATTCTGGTAGGTTGACTCGTTCACTGCCGCCGAATCCGGGCCCGGTCACGGCCTTATACGTAGCCAAAATGGACGATTTCCTAATTACAGCAGGTCAGCATAACCGATTAATATATTCACCAGAACCATTCGGCGAAAAAAAACGCTTCTTTTTTTTCATGAAGAAAAATGTCACTTTCAGTGAAGTAGACAAAAAAAAATTGAATGCGTTCTCTCTCTCTCTCTCTCTCTCCCTCTCTTCATATCAGGCGGAAATAAAATCTCATTCTACTCGTTTCGCAATGAAGAGCCACGGCCATATCCACGTCGAAATCCGAAGGGAAAACCATTGCGTCAAATGTCACAGTCACAACGTGCAATCATCAGTGCATCACAGCCAGCCTCTTGCTTTGATATATCAAGGGATTCACAATTGTCGGCCATTGCATCGGGCCGATCGATTCAAATTTGGCAAATCAATGTGCCACAAATGACACAAACATTTGAAGAGCACACGGGCGCTGTAACATGTGTCAGTTTTTCACCAAACGTGGAATTTTTCGCATCGGGTGCTGAAGACAAAACCGTTATCGTTTGGAATTTGGTGTTCAGCTTAGTTGTTACTACATTCAAGGTATTGGAAAATAAATTCCATTTTGGTTTGTTTTATCATTGTCATTTGTGGGCTGAAATCCATTTAGTCTGAGGCTCAAACTTTGTACCATATGAAAATTTCCCCACCAATGGATACGCTTGGATTCTTATTATTACCAATGGTGTTCGCTACTTTTAAATCTGCGTCATTTGCATTTATCGTTTAATTTTCGGTTGTTCGTGGGTCGTACACAAACAAAAGGGTCATAATGCTGCCATTCAATGCGTTACGGTGATGATGGATTCGCGTCGTATAATCTCAGCCGACCGCGACGGATTACTTTGCGTGTGGCTGGCCGAAACAGGAACACTACTTCAAACAATACAGGGACCATATAAAAGCCTTGCGGCAACCAACAATATGAAGTTCGCGGTAAGTACTTCTTTGGTGTTGCGCGCAGCACACTGTTCCACATCACACCACCATCTCAGTTCATTAAATCAAGAGCATTTGCCGCATGAAAAATGACACTTCGCATATTAATTATGGATCACATTTCAAAATAATGCATCTTGAGCACACGCGACAATGGCAATGAGGCGCACGAGCTCACTCCCGTAAGCACTCAAGACAACTTAGATGGAAATAAAAATTTTGGTGGCAGATATTAGTTTGACGTTCATCATTTAAAATTTTTAGTAGGGCAAAAGTCATAAATGTCGAACTGTTTTTCTTTTTACTCCGTTTTTCTTTGCATCGTCGTCGTCGTCGTCGCCGTCGCCGTCGTCATCGCTCCGCTGTCGTAGTATACTAGTTTCAAACTGGATAGCTACTAGCAAAAAGTTTGCAATGCCATAAATTTGACACCAAGAATGGCAACGTCTTATTAAGTCTTGTCATAATACCATCGTCATCTTCGTCGTCGTCGTCGTCGTCTTGTGCCCAAGTCGTTGGCTAAAAGATACATTTTTCATTTTGTTCCGGAACCATGAGTATGCTTTTGTTCTTTTGCTACCTCAATCTCTGATTATTCATTTAGTTAATTTCTTCTCTGAATGCAATCAAAATTTATGAGTTTATTCGGAAGTTTTACTTTGAAAGTTCCGCTCTCACAGACACACGTAACGCGCGCCCCATCCAATATCGAACAAAAGTGAAACTTTGATGGTTTCGCACGAACTCGCGCGCGCCCTCCATTCACACAACTCTTTTTAGTAATCATCATAAATTTCCTCGTGTTGCATTGATATTCATTGATATTATTTGTAGGTGTGCACAAACGGTGATACCAGCCTGAAAATTTGGTCATTAACACGAGAAAATGAAATTTATTCGGTATCCCATTCCGGTGAAATTACGTGCTTTTGCATTACCGTCGATAGTTTGTTTGTGATAACCGGATCGCGGGATATGTCGCTGAAGGTTTGGCAGGCAACGGGTGGTAAATTGGCTCAAGTACTGGTTGGCCATAGCGATGCGGTAACATGTGTTGCCGTTTCAGTGGCAAATAAAACGCAAGTGATATCCGGTTCGAAGGATTGTAATTTAATTGTATGGGACATACATACGGGCGAAGAGATTCATACGTTGGCCGGGCATTTGGCACAAGTAACATGTGTAAAAATTTCGGCGGACGGTACAACAGCTGTGTCGGGCAGCGATGACAAGGTTTTAATTGTGTGGGAAACGAAACGTGGATTGGCATTAACCTCGTTACAATTACATGTGCCGTTCATACGATTTGACATCAGTTTGGAATGTTCACGCATTTTAGTGCATATCGTTGATAGCCCAATATTGCCGGTCATTTGTCTGCACAACACACCAGCCAGTTACATCAAATTGCCCACTTATTCGGCGCCCGCACAAGATGTTGAAGGTATGTATTGTGTTGTTTGCAATCGTAAACGTACCCTCTACGTATATATTCATAAATTAACGAGCGAACGGACAAGAACGATTATTGGTTTTCATTTGTGTGGCTTTTTTTCTCGTCTACTTCTGTTTCGCATAGATTTACGACCGGCTGGCCCGAAACGACAAATGCGCCGGTTGTTAAAGAAGGAGGTGTCACTAGACACTTACACATGGCAAAAGAAATATGGTCATTTAACGAGTTCGGTGATGATGGCTCAAGTGGATGAACGGCTTAAACGCCGCTTTAGCGTTAGTGCATCGATGGAAGAGATATCGAAAATTGCCGAAATGAAAACACTTCAGTCACAAGCGAGCCTCGGGCCCGAGCAAGCCGCACTCGCTCAATCACAACATTTTGATCAACTTGAAGCTCTGTGGAATAAACGCTCGCCACCACGACGACGCAACAATGCTGTAAGCAAAACACTTTTATTCACACTTTTTTTTTTCAATGAAGCAATTGAAAAATGAGCATTGTATGAGTTCATGGTGTTTTTTTTCATTCAATTCTCGTTCCATCATGTTTCTCTGTATTCATAGTCATTGTCACGACAAACGTCCTTGGTTGAAGATCGAATTGACGATTCGGACGAAGATGAATTTCTGGAGGAGCGGACAGGTATGTGCACAAAACGGAATAGTCATAAATTCTGTTATCGAAACAATGCCACAAATCATGTGATGAAGCAGAAATGACTTGATTATTTCAATAAACGTCTTTTAGAATCTTTGAATTAAAGAAAAACTGTTAAAAACGAATTAATGCCACAATAGTAAATGGAATAAATAAAACACAAACAGAGTAAAAAGATGAAATAAATAACTTTTTTTTGTGTGTGTATGAAAGATTACTTGTTGTTTTTCTTTTGATTTGTCTCTATGTGTCAAAACAATCAACTATATTGAAATGTGTCTTCTTGTTGTTTCGTTTATTTGCAGATATGATTTAAATGTAATAGCGCATGACCAAACGCACCAAACATGAGCTGAACTAACCTCGAATCTCGTAAATAACTAATTGGCTACTAGTTACTAGCATCACATGATAACCAATTTATTAAGCAAATTAAGCGATTTTTAACCACAATAATTGTATCAAAATCAGACAAAAGAGAGATAGACACAGAGATACACGGAGAAAACCAACACACAATTGACCACAAATTTGCACGATTTTCAATCAAGATCAGGAATTGACTAATACAACAGAAGAAAAAAAAACCAAATGGTTTAATTAAATCGAATCAACAACATTGAACACACATCATAATTACATCACATCACATCGTATACCCATGTAACACGTAATTGGTTGAATTAAATGAACAGCAGAGAGAAAAACAGCAACAACTACTTGTATTGTGTAAATTAGAAAAGGGAATATCCAGTGTAAAGTAATAATTATTATAACAATAGCTGCAAAGGTTAAGTGTTTTAAACAATTTTATTAGTATTAACGATAATCTAATCTCTATTTGAATGGGTAGATTTTATTAGTAAAATACAAAAGGAAATGAATAACAACAACAACAACAACAATAACAGCAACAACAACTAAAAACCACTCTATATCTATGTAACGTTAGATTTAAAAGCATGTGAAACAATTGAAATGCCGCAGCTAATATCAACCTAACACAATAAATTGCAACAGCAAATTATAATCAGTTCTATCAAAGCACGATTTACGATCTCACCTCAGTTCAATTGCAATATCAGCCGTAGTTTTGTAATTGGTAGTTGAATTTTGATAATGGGCCACCAATAGCCAGCCAGACTTACACACACACACACACACACACACACACACACACACATCGAGATGATAAAAGAAAAAAACAGCTAAACTGAAAATTGAGCACGAATGCCTGATTAAATGACCCCCTTCATGCGTTGCACACATACACAAACACACCTCTAGGTCTTTTGCACTAAATTCCAATTGATATTCATCACAAACGACGACAGAATAGAAAAAAAAACGACTAAAATTCAACATGATAGCGAGAGAAAGAGAGAGTTGTGTTGGTTCATGAGTCGATTTTATCCTGAAATGGTAGCAAAAATCAATTTTAATTAAAACACTTTAATCCAATTAAAAAAGTGAACGTTTACAGCGGATCTAGAGTAAAATCACACACATACAGATAGGGAGAGAGAGAGAGAGAGAGGGTACTTTGGACAAAGTCAAAAAGGAGTAAAACAATAAATAACAAAAAATTAATAGTTTTACAGGTATGTCGTACGACGCGTGTCTAGTTTATGGCACTCTGTGGCTGCAAGCGACTCAAAGGTTAGATTACATTGAATCAATGGGTATGCTGCGCGCTGGTGCAGTAGTCAAAGCGCGCGATAGATGCAATGCCACACTTTTTAGCGCTGTGTGCAACGGATTACATAAAATAACAATATGTAGTTAGCACGCGACAGTGAGATTGAAGTGAACAAAAAAAAATCGCCAAACGAGGAGAGTGAACAGAGGAGAAAGTGTCTACGATTGAAAAAGGGGAAGAGCAAGAATCGTAAACGAAAATGTAAATCCATGAACATGAGCTAATAGCTTGCGGTGTGCGATCATTTTATATGAATATGTACGACATGGGAATTAAGAACGTAGAGATGCCATCATTTATTCTTAATTCGAATCAAATATATGCGGCGATGTGGTGCAGTGTGTGCAAAACCCTTTCACGATGGCGACCGTGCACGCTAGCGCGAGCATCTACATTTAATTATAATTATAATTGAATACACACACACACACGCAAGTGAAGTAAATGGCGCGTAATATCGAATTGAACAATCGATTGTATTCACACGCAGAGCTCTCGATATGTGTAATTTAGATATATCATCATATTACCTAGGGCCATTTAACTCAAACTCTTGCGTTCTTTTTCCTTCTGTTTTTATGTAATATATACTGACTCGTTCATTCTTAACCATTTGGTCGCATTTTGCCGAAGAAAAACATTCACAACTCACATACGATTAAATATGTACACGAAATGGACCATTTTCATAATAAATATATACCACACAAGGCAGCAATTAAAACCCATAAAATATAGATCGCGCAAAATCGTTTCTCATTTTTTTGTTTTTTTGTTTCAAGCGTTGTTGTCGTCAACCAACTAGCGGGCAGACACATAAACCACATGTATTTTATCATTTATCGAATTCAATGTTGTAATTTGTATATTTTATTCATTTGTATGTGTTGAAAGGCAAAATCAAATGAAAATTAATAAAAGTGAATAAAAAGTGAATGAAAAAAAAAATTACAACCAGATAAAACAAAATCGTATTCAACAACAAAAAAAAGCTCAATTCTAAATGTGTAATTATGAATTTTACCTACTAATTAAGAGTGTAAGTGGAGACGAAAAATTGAATCATTCGATATGAACACTCTGCTCCGTGCTGCATTTCGATTCAGCACAAGAGTAAGACAGAAGACTATTTCAAATCCGCATTTAGACTTATCATTATACTCATATGTTTTATACGTTAATTTCGAAGTCGAGTGCGAAAGAGATTTATGTTTCGTTCATTCGTTCGGTAATTGGATTTAAATTCATTATATATATGAAATTGAATAAAATGTATATGCAATGCACGTCAATGTTCTCCATTGCATTTTGCATTTTTTTCGGATATTTTACCAGCTAGTTTCAAACGTCTCACCACCACCAATTATCATGACTATTTATCATTTTTTCCCGATAAATTTCCAATGAATTGTGACAAACTTTGCATACAAAATGCAATTTGTTCGCACCACTTGATCTTCAAAATGCTATTAAGTTGGAGAACACTCACTCGCACATTCGTTCGCCTGAATCGAAATGATATAGAAAATATGATCTGATTGATGATCACCAACCACATATACATATATATATATATATTATATATATATTTAAATATAATTATTAATGCTGAATTCCAAATGGAAATAATTGGGCCAATGACGTGCAATTTCATGGAGTGTGACATCGTCAATGTTCTTTTAATTTTTATTTGCAACCAAAAAATATATATAATAAATATATAATATAGATGAATGAGCGCAAACGTATTTTTTCGGCAAGTTTTTAATGTAATTTTTAGCGTGTTAACAGCCGAGCAAATTTTTTTTTTTTGAATCATTAGAAATATCCAAAAGGGGAAAAGAAAAGTCGTTGACTTTTATGTATTTTGAATGTGATCCAATGAAATTTAAAAAAAAAAAAACCCAATTGAATGAGCAATTTGTGTAAAAATGTTAGAAATTTTACGGAGAGACAAATGAAATTCTATACACAAAATCCATAAAATGGATTGTGTGAATTTTTAATGGATTTATCAAATGAATCATGTAAATGCATTTTGTGTGTGATAATTGAAAGAAAACCGATAACTAACAAGAAAAACAAAAATGGACACATTTTTAACTGGCTAATGTATTATTATCTCAAATAAATGTTTGACATTCCCTAAAGTGTCTCTATTCTGTCAAATGTACTTCCATTTCCAATCCGTTGTTAGTTCGTAATTATATGAGTAGTATGGAACAGAAATTTACAGTAGTAGTGAATCAAAAAATAATGAAGAATACGACATGTTTTATAAAATAGAAATTGCAATGCTGCTGAAGCAAAAATGATATTGAACTCTCGACAAATCAACTTGATTTCCGGAAAATTGACCGAAATTACGCCGACAAACCGCGTTTATTTTACAATGTACGCAAATAAATCAACAACATTTCGCATTTAATTTATTCCACCAGACGAGTGCGCATATAAACCGAGATCATCGAAAATGCCCCTAGTCATTGATTAATTATTTATGACGATTGAAATGAGCAAGCTGGAAAAAGAGGGAGAAAGAAAGAGAGCACGGTATGCACATAGGTCATATAATGCCAATATGTGTATCCTGTTGGAAAATCACAAATGCATTTATAATAAAAATGCCATCAATTTAACGAAATATTGTATGATGGTAACGGCATGCAAAACCGACGACACTGCATTTTCATTAAGTTACCATGCAAATTTAATCGGTCACTGGTTGAAATCGAAACAATTTTTGTTGTTTTTAGCAAAATGAATGATTTTTTTTCTGCCTCGACACAGAGAGAGAGAGAGAGAGAGAGAGAGAGAGAGAGAGAGAGAGAAAGAGAGAGGAACGAGACCGCATGTGGCAATATCAAACACAAGCATTTAAATTGTTAAAATGGAGTAAACTGATAAAAATGTGAAATAATACATACCCACATTTTAAAATGCAATCAAGTACATTCCTCACAATCTTTTCAATAATCAATCAGTGGCAACCAGAAATGTGTTATGTCGTTAGTTCATGCGACGACAATGACGTTGAAGTGTTTTCGATAAGCTTCAATGTGTTGCACGAAAGCTGCTTGCCGAAGAGCTTTGAAAACCTGTCAAATGCAATTGTGTTTGGATTTTGAATCGCAGCCCACATGAACTTGAACAACGGCTAATGTATTTGTTGCAAATCAATTTTGCAATTTCAATGAACTCGAATCTCCAGCCAATGTGAATCATTTCGCTTATTTAGCAGAAGGCCTCGTGACAATGGCTGCGGGCGAAAAAGAAAACATTTGTGTGTGGAGTTTTTTTTTTTAATTTCGCTGATCAAATACGTTTTACTAATTTATGAACTTGAGCTAGAAAAATAAAACCAGAATACCAAGTAAGGTCAATTGAAATATTCTGACAACAATCGAATGTGTGTTCATTTTTCGATTGAACATGGTCGTTCGTTCTGTTTATCAAAGAAAATGATTTGCATGTTCAGCTGAAATGATAGGTAGGAAACGTCAATTTTTCCTTTGTCAGCGGCCAATGTTCTTTCTACGCTATTTCAATTAGGATGATACGACATTTATACACATAACCCAATCACGGGACTCTTGATATTCATATTATATGGAACGTTTCAAAAGACGACAGAAAAAATGTCACATTTACCCCTTGCGGCAAAATATATATTTAAACGTATATTTCTGAACCAATGTGAAATAAAACGAAAGACAATTTAATCATTACCGTAGAATTTAGCAAAGACAATCAATGTTGTAAAATCACCTAAAGAGAAATACAAACAAACAACCAACAACAAAAAAATGCTTTCATCAATTCCTCAAATGCCTCAATCCACCGATTAGAACCAGCACATAGACACACACATACACACACACACACAGAGACAGATAGACAATTTCTACCACCTAAGAACATAAAATGGACACTTTACTTTAGACGAAATTACACATTTGCAAAGAAACAACCGAGAATCTTTCCTAAACAGTAAACAAAATGAAAAAAAAAGTAAAAAAAAAACTTCAATGTCGAAGATGTTTTATATGGGTTTAATAAGGCACACTGAAAAATTAATTGAATACGTATATATTATATTGAATGTTATGTAGAAATAAATGCATTTATTTAAGATAAAAATCCAAATGCTGTATAGTTTTAAACAAAATAGAAGTGAATGAATGAATGAAAACTAATCCTTTGCAATAAAGCTCAATAAATCAGTAAGTAAGTCACACTACTGTTGCACATTTCATGCTAAACCAAACAACAGTGAAACAACACTCACATTTTTAAACGTAATTCCCCTTTAGTTTCTATATTAGATGTTAACTGTTGATCAAACTGACATTGAATTGTACAACTTCTTCACACTCACTCACCCATACACGCACACCCAAATCAAACAAACAAACCTGAAAATCAAATAAAGTGAATGAAAACTGAATCGTGATCATATCGTAAAAGTTATTTGTTCTAAAAAAAATTTCAGCAATTGGCATAGTTATTCGTTTCGAGCTCGGCTGATTTATTCATGAGCACCGCGTAATGTAATTGAATGTTGTAATCATATAAAATCAGAATTTGATTCAAATCGAAAAGAAAAAAAAAGCTGTTCCAGTTGTTGCGATGTGCCATCGCGATCAAAATCAATGGCCGATGGCCATATGAAAACGGAAGCACCAATTTTGGTTATGGTAAGACATTTTTTTTTAAGACCCTTCACATAAATGGATAAAGAAATCTTCTCGTGCCATAAATCAAATCGTATGAACTAAAATCTATCGACCGTTTGATCGGTACCGGACGGGTTCAATGGACAATGGCATTGAATTCAACATTGATATCACGTTTTATTACAATCTACATGCATGAGCAAAACTTGATTGATTGAAATCAAATGGAAGAAATAATAATGGAAAAAAAACATAATTGTATATTTGCTACACTTTTCCTTCAATAATAAAAGAAAAATTACACCGGATTGCACATGAGCAAGGTGTTGTTTCATTTGAAAACTTCTTAAATTGACCACGTGCAATTGCATATATGCATCGAAGAGTGTTTTTTGGTTAATCTATTAACTCGAAACAAAATGATTTTGTAGAGAAAAAAAAATCGGCGCAGTGAAATGTCTATGCAGAAAGGAAATTTTCTGCGAAACAAAAACACACACACACAAATACTCGGTGAATGATCTCAATAAGTAAGTATTTTAGTACGTAAAGAAAATGGTATTTTAAGTCGAGTGCCGTTAACTTGTTCATTTTATTTAAATCAAAAGAGTAACGGTCATTCGATTTAAAACACATCCAATTTGTTCATTTATATTCCGAACGCACAATACTGTGCGCTTTCTGCCATAACAATGTATGGTTTTGTTTTCTGGGTACGCGGAATACATGATTTACAATACAAGCGATTACCGCAATCATAACTGAAAAAAAAAACCAGAAAACATTGACGCACAGGCAAGAATCAGAACAATACAATAAAATAAAACTGAACCAACGAAAAAGACGCAATCAAAATGCTTTCACATATTGTTCACGTTTTTGACATTTTCGACTTTATCAATTGACACCGATCGGTGTCGTACGTCGGCCCAAACACACTGACAAACTTAAAATTTAACTGACATCATCGACAAAGATTTCACACGAGCAACACTGACTCTTTTTTTTTCCTCGTTCTGGTTGTTGTTATTGTTGCAATATTACTCATTTGTTGTTGCTGTGTTTTCATTTTGGCGCGTATTCATTTCACATTTCATGATCATAATTATGTGCTATCTCTTCATTATTTTATGTGCATGCGGTGAATTTAGTATTCATACGAACAGTTAATCGGTGGAAAGGAAAGCAATGGCAGAAAAACGAGAGAGAAAAAAACAAACGAAATAAAATAAAAACCAACACCGCACACACAATTATTTGGTAATCGTGTTGAGAATTTTTTATCATATGATGTGTTTTTGGCTTGACTGGCTGGTTTGTGTGTGCCTGTGCATGTGTTGCTGCTTCGCTTGCTGCGAAATGGTGAGTGGCGAAGGTAGGGAGAAAAATGCGAATGCAGTCGAATAAGCATAAACTCTTTTTTATTTTATTTTTTCTCGTCTCTGTTCGACGTGTGTGCCGTGTTGTTTCTTCTTGTTTCATTTTGTATTGCTGCTCGTGCTAAACGGAACGAAACGAAGTACAAAACTTCAGCGACAAGACAAACATTATCGGTTTCCATTTCGATTGTGTGTAGTCTTGCAATGAGAAAAAAATAAGACGGAAGAGAGAGCGAGAGAAAACTAAAAGCCAACATCAATTTCTTAACACTTCGCAAAGTGCATATAGTGAGAATGTGCTTGTGTTGGTCTCTTCATGCAGCTTCGATAGTAATGATAGTTTTTTATTTATAAGAAGCAAAGAAAACGACATCATGCGCTAAAACACAACGGAACTCACGAATTAAACGGCATGCACACAATCATATATGTATGAATTAAATGCTTGTCTATGTCTTTCTCTCTTTCTCTACCTCTCGGTTTTTTCGATCTGTTAAAATTTCCAAAACGCACAATAATCTCCGGCCGCTCTCCATTGGAATTGTGTGTGTGTGTTTGTGTCGCAATGGAAAAATGCGTCAACTACCGACTACTGAGCGTGTAAAAGGCTTGTAGCAGCAGCAGCAGCAGCAGCAGCAGCAGCAGCAGCAGCAGCAGCAGTAGCAGCAGAAGTCGGTACCAACAGCAGCAGCAGCAGCAGAGGTGGCAGTGTGGCACACACATCGACGACAACATCAGCAGCAGCACATGACCGGATTCATTTTCATGCATACATTCCTCATACACATGAAGCATGGGCCACCACACACTACATCAAAATGGAATTGAATAGGCTCTAACGTAATACGATATGCGAATTAAATCATTATGTCATTAGCCATAATTCAGTTGATGTTTTGCTGCCTGCTGCACTGTACACGCGCAAACAGCGACGAAAAACATATACTAACCGAGTGGTCGAAAATCGGGAGAGATATTTCGATTAAGCCAAAAGTATAAACCCAAATACTATTACCCAAAATATTGTTAACTCTCGGTCGAACAGCAACGACGACGACGACGACGACGACGATAATGAGTCCGTGTTGAATTAAACCCATACAGCAAACGAATTTTACGATTCAATTGAATTTTGATACGGTTTATCTAGCCGAAAAACACAATTTACACAATAAACTAAAGTGCATATCGATATATAGATCGGAGCAACAACTGAGCTTGTAATTAATGTTCGAAATTGGAACTTCTGTTTGCTTTATTGCGCTCACCCTGTCTGCTCCAACCATATTCATGTGTGTATCGATTCCAATTCCGATTGAGTGTACTCCGAATTCGAATTAGTGTGTTTCGTATTTAAATCAATAATGGTCTCATGCGGTTTGAGGTTCTGATTGCAAATATGAGAGCACCCCTTTCAGTTTCGTCCCCTCTGATGAGCAAAACTAACACACACATACACCATACATATATACGTTATTGCAAGTTTTGTTGTTGTTATTATTTGTTTGTTTGTTTGATGTGAAAAACTTCGGTAAGCATTGTATCAGGTGAAAAGTTTTCGATTAGTTGGTGATTTGTGTGCGAGTGTTGTGTGTGAGTGCTGGACATTTTTAAAATTGCCAACACATTCCAACCAACCTAACAAACGAAAAACACCGTGTCGAACACATTTTCACTTGGCTCAGCATATTTTGTGCGCCGGTTGTTGTTTTCATGGAAAATTTCGGTTGACAATTTCATGAGTACATTGGGTTGTTGTAGTTTTTGTTTTGGAACGCAGTGATTCGGAGAAAAAAACATTGAAACATATAAATAAAATACCACGATGACAATATTTACGTGTAGCATTTTTTCATTGACACTGGCCAGCATCATCAATTGTAAGTGTCTACACATTTTTTTTTTTTTTAGAAAAAAGTCTTTTATTCTGGGCAATCATTTTTTTTCTGCTCATGCATACATAAACTGATTGTTTTTGCTTTGCGCGTTCAGTCACTCTTGCTTGAAAAATCTATAGCAATGTTTCGAAATATATCAGCTGTGTTGATGAGCAGACAAATAAATGCGAGAAGCGCAATGATTCTGATTATGGGAGAATTGATGCGATTGCCTTGTACTGAATTGAACTTCATGTATGAAGTGTATAGTAAAAAAATCGGTTTTATTTTCAATGAGATTAACAATGGCAGACACATTCACACAAAATCACACACACACACACACACATATGAACATAGTTCAACACTCCAAGGCTTCCATCGTTGGGTGTTGTTGATATGGTCGCGATATCCAAAAGCGAGTTTAATTATAGCGTTGTGGTGATTTTGGGTGTTGAAATGCCGACATTATCCTAATTAGAAATATGTGGTTGACACATCTAAATTACGATATCGATGATGATTTTCGATGGTTAGTTAATTCATTGTGTGTTTGTGCGTATCCGTGTCATTTGCATTTCACAGTGATCGATGCTCAAGGGCCAGTTGCGACGGCGCTATTTCTCGGTGAACCCGGCCTATTCAATACAACACGCGAGGACTGTCTATGGAAGCGTGGCAATGATCGCGACCAGTGTCCAGATCCGGATATCACGATGACTTTATTTCCACCGAAAAAACCTCATGCAAAATCAAAGGTAAATCAACAAATCATCAAATATGCATGAAATGCATATACACACAAAATAATCATTCACTTCCTAGTGTCTGATCATGATGTGCGACACAGAAAAATTTAATTTAAAGTCTCAAAAGACTCGTACGCAACGAACCTTTGCCACTTATCTCGTAGTTGTTTTTTGTTTGTTGGTTTTCATTCATTTTTATTTCTCTTTCCTTCAACGCTCTTGTAACTTTCGCTTGTCGGCATCATTTCAGGTTGACATCACTCAACGTGATTGGTTACGAAACAGTGGCTGGGATCGCGACAAGGAAAATGTGATTCTAATTCATGGTTACGGTGGTAATGTCGACGCTTTACCCATGTCCGTCTTACGAGATGGTAATTGCACTCTTTTTTTCTTTGCTTTGTTACTTATATAGCGTATTTATTATATGATTTACGCGTATGTCGGTGTGATTAGTTTTGATTAAATTAAAAATTAAATATAGCAATTGCGTTATCTATATTGATATTACTGATTTCAAGTCAATCGTATCGAATTGCAATTTAAATTTATTGGATTGCTTTAATGTGTTTCGGTTTTGTTTTGCTTCAATTTGTTATTTATTTGGTTTTTTTTTTCATTATTTTTCCCTGTAACATAATGAAATTTGAACAACGAAAAAAAAATCCACACAACTAAAAACAACAACAAAGCCTACGTGAATCATGGTAACTACAATGTGTTTATGGTGGATTGGGGAGTTTTGTGTCGGCCGCCGTGTTATGTAGCAGCTGTTCACAATCTAAAACCTGTTGCAAAATGCTTGGCACAAGCTTTTTCGTTTTTACGTAATTCTGGTATGCCGGTTCAGCAAACGCTTTGTGTTGGGCACAGTCTTGGTGCCCACCTTTGCGGTTTGATGGCGAATTATTTAGATTTTCGCATCGAACGGATTATCGGTAAGTAGTTTGTTCCCTTTTTTTGATCTCGGTTTTCTTTTCTCTATCTCTCTGTCACTATACATAGTACTTACGTGCCTCTTACGCAATTCATGTACTCAATCATTTTTTTTCTCTCTCTCTCTTTCTCTGTCTCTTTTTGTGTGTGTGTCTGCATGTAGCTCTCGATCCGGCCCGTCCATTGATATCGCCAGGCATCGGAAATCGACTAGACAGCGGCGATGCAAAATCAGTTCAAGTCATGCACACAAATGCTGGGTACTACGGTGAAGGCGGACGTGTTGGACACGTTGATTTCTGTGTAAATGGCGGCAAACGACAACCGTTTTGTTCCAGCACTTCAAGTAATATTTCATTTCACTCCATTTCACTGTATTGCGTCATTTCACAATTCAAAAAGCAAATCATGTGTCGTTTCATTCTTTTTACTCTCGCCAGACGCGAATTTATGCAGTCACATTTGGTCCGTGTGCTATTTATCGCAGAGCATCTACGATAGTTCGCTCATGAATGCTGAACCATGCACCAGACGATGTCCAGTTGGTATTCGCAGTTTTCGAAACAATCGATTTTTGTATCGGCAAAATGTCGGTTTCGATATTCCAATGGGTCAACACACTCCGATGAAGTAATTTTCCGCTCGACATACCGACTATTTCTATCTTACTGTCCGATTCTCTTTCTCTTTCTCTATATATCGCTATCGCTCCAGATCTTGACTCGATTCACAATTTTCATTAAAATTTTATGACTCGATTTTTTTTTCTCTCTTGCAGTGCTTATGGCTCGTATTGTCTGAAAGATAATGGAGTACCATTTTGTCCATCGGAAAGCAATCCAGTCGGCGATGCTCGATGTTGCATCGGAGTGAACCAGGACGGTGGTCTTGATGAGGTCAGTTTTCGTAGCAATTCCATTGAAACGATGGTCGATTTAATGAAAGTGCGAAACAGAACCTGAAACAACGCTCCCACATCCTCTCTCATCTTAGGCGCTTTTCTATTCTTCTTTTTTTTCATCAAATGAAAAGCAATTCTAAGTTGTAAATGATTAGATTAGTTAGAAAATGTATTAGAATTACAATTTGATACCAACAAATTTTCATGTATGAAATGAACCATTTTTTCCTCGATAAGAATAGTTTTTATTTTTCAAAACAAAATTAAAGAACATTTTTGTGGCAGAAAAAAAAGAAAACAATTTGGTCACATTTATCCCTATTTTTATTGCAAGAGAATTTTAGGTGAACATATCGATTAAACTGCAGCATCTTCGAGTACCAATTTTATCTTCAGTCATCGAACAAAACGGTCGTTCCAGTGCTGATAAACAATATGATCCACGAGCACTAAACAAAATTGGAAATTGATCTTAGCTTATTCTTTTTTTTTTGTCTGTCTTGATTCAAATTCAAAACTATTTTGTGTGTGACACAGTGTGACACTGTGTGTATTTATTATCAAATGGTCAAACCTCATGTTCATGCCAAGCACAATATTCTCTGGAGAATCACCGGTAATGGAGTTGTCATAAATGGCTGACTGATCGGACGGATTGAACACTTTTACAATTTGAAATATACTCAAATGCGGACACACTTGTGTACAACGTTTGGCTTCCATTTGCTGCTCGTCATCGAATAAACTCTGTGCCATGAAACACAGTGCATACAAATGGCTACACAGATTTGGATCTGCGTGGAAATTTCATAACCGAAAATAGTTTTCGAACCCAATAAGTCGAAGAGATTGAGAAATGAACGAAGAAATGGCAAAGAAAATGGGATACAAAAGAAAACGAAAAGAAATCATAATTAAAACTCTTAATGAAATTTAAGCAAATCAATGAAATAAAAAAAAGACCGAATCGGATAAAAAATGCAATGAAATGTCTAAAATGGTTCGAAAAAAACATGTCTAAAAAATTGTCAATAGCAGTGTTCATACTTTGAGAATTTTGGCAAAACGGTTGAATATTGCCATTGTTAACGCATACATCTAAATGGCCAATCGAACCCAGGTCACCATAGTAGCCGGCATTTGTTTGAATTGTGTGTACTACGGATGCGTCACGCCAGCTCAATCGATCCGATTCGGAGATCAAAGGAAGTGCTGCATCCAATCCTAAAATTTGTGCCACGACACAACTATGTAAGAGCTCGGCAAACTTGGTGCGGTTGAACAAGTGAAAATCATTTCACACTTGAGAAACAAAAATACTTGCCAATAATTTTGTTAATGCGGAATCCCAGGTATCGTCTTAATAAACCACAACCATGCGCACCCATACTATGACCAATGCCTATATAAAATGGTATTGAAAAAAAAAACAAAACCGAATTTTATTTGGTCCCCAGAAGAATGTGCACAAAAAATATAGAGCATACATACATGTGATGCTTTGCTTTTGCATGCCGGAATTCATGAAGTTTTTGAGGTAAGATGCCACACAGTTGCTCACATATTTGATGTTTTGTACAAGCGACACATAGCACGGTGCTCGACTCACCGGTCCATAATCTATCATAAAAAAGTTGTACTGTCCACTTTGTATGAAAGCGTCTCGCAACATCAGTGTTGGTGTGCTGCCATCACCGGCAGCATATCCATGAATAAAGATGACATTCTCTTTATCCGCATCCCAATGTGGCGTGCTCAACAGCCATTCAAAGTCCATTGGATCAATCTAAAACCATATTGAATTAAAATGTTCAATTTGGAAAAGTTTGTTCCACAAATAGCGGTCGGTAAACGTTGAAACGGAATTTGGCATTTGAAATGTTTTCCACAAAAGCTATGCATTTGCAGGGTTTGTGTTTTTTTTCTCCCTCTCTCTCGTTGTAATTAAGCTGAAATCGAGTATGAAAGCTATTTGAATTGGCGTTGGTGATGAATTGTGAATAACGGTGATATCGTGATATCGTTGTACATTTTGTTCACTTCGTCGTCGTCGTCGTCGTCGTCGCCATCATCAAAGGAATGTCCTTTAAGTCGGTATCGACAATCGATTTTCGTCGGGTAAGTTTCCATTTTGGCGTTTATGGTGGCTCTATGAATTTCACTTGAAATAACCCAAATCGTGTATTGACAATGAATATTTTAGATGTGGCCCATTTAAAAATGCTCGAAAATGCTTTCATATCAGTACAGTCAGCATATGTGCATAGGAATCGTTTGGTTCGAAGTGCGGCGCAATGAGAACTTTACCAAAACTGCTTTGAATAATTAATGTGAAAAAATAGAAAATTGGTTCTTTTCTACCATTTGCCAGTTATAAAAGAGTACACTTGTGTACAGCAACAACAACAACAACAAAAATCGAATGACGCAAACCAAAGAAAACAAAAAATTGATTTTTATTTCTAAAGAATGTGCACAATAAAAAAAAATACTTTTATTTTATACGAACTGTGTTGAAATAGATCGAAAATACCGACTGAATTTGGATCGAATGATCCAAATTCGACAGCTTTTGAAAATTGGTCGGTTGGTTGTATTTAAAATTCCAAGGGCTCAAAAGGGTGAGAGAAACCCAAACCAAACCGAACCAAATCAAATTTCATGGCAATGAAGCGATTACAACTTTTTGATTTCAATTTCACGAATCATTACAAATCGCAGTCGAATCTACTATTTCTCGGTGTGTTTGTTTTTGTTGGAGCACAGCTCGGAGAGAATGAGATTTATTTTTGGTTGGTTTAATCTTTGGCGTGCCGATTAAATACATTTGAGCGAGAGAGAGAGAGAGAGAGCGGTAGAAGATTTTCGGACCGAATTCATGGGGGTGGTGGGAGCGAGGCCAAATGAAGGTAATTCAGTATGGGTAAAGTATTAATGAACACAAACACACATACAGATGGAATACAGTAAGGCGTACCGACGAAAACATACAAAAAAAAAACGAAGCGACGAAAAACTCTCGGTAAAGTCTGAGCAAAACGATGAGATAAAATGCAAACAAAGTATGGCTTCAGAATATGAGGTGGGAATGTGTTGCTTTTTAGCTCTGCAGACTTTTGGAAAAGTTTTTTTTTTCCTTTCTTTCTCTTTTCTCTTCATCTTTTTCCCTTTTCTCCAAAAGCAAATAGGGATCCGGAATCAAAAATAATAATCAAGTTCACCAGCAGCGATGATGCTACCATCCGATTACTAATTATCTTAATTACAATATTTTTCTGAAACAATTTACCATAATGCATGAAGGGGCGCATATTACGTTTTTATGGCAAATAAGCAGCGACGTTCTCGACGAATACGATAATTCTGAATATGTATGCTTTGCTTTGCTCTGAACTCTCTTTCTCTCTCTCTCGCTCTCAGACATAGTACACGCAGCACCAGCATCAGCACAGATATTTCACTTTCGCATACATATATACAAAGTAAAGAAACAGAAGATAGACAACATCGTGATTACTTACCAATTCTTCAGTTCCGTTGGAGTGAAGCCAAATTTTTACATCTTTGGTACAAAGTTTATGATCCTTGAACACATTACGCCATACGCAGTCTTTGTGCGTTGTATTGAAAATATCACGAAATCCGAGGTACAATTCACTGTCGACAAAATTGTCCAGTAAATTCACTGCAATGGCAACAGAGAGAGAGGGTAAAGAGATAGAGAGAAAATAAAACACACACCAAATGTAAAAGTGGTCAGTGTGAAAACGGTCACATCAGTAAAATATATGCAAATATATAAAATAAGCATTAACATCATACACACTAAAGCTGTTGTCAGAATGGCATAGTTCACACCACCGATAAAAAGGATTAGGCTGATTTTCATTTCAAATGGACAAAACACATGGACACTAATGCAGTATACAAACTTACACACACATACACATCAACAAAAAACGACAGTGAGACAATCACAAGTCACACACATTCACACACAATTCATATTCACGTTTTGAAAATGTGTTCGACATTTAGCCCCGGCCTCCGTGAAACTTTTTGCAACAAGGCCAACGCAACACAACACAATACAGCACACAAAAATATTGATCGATTTAAACGATGCACGATAAAATAACACAACACTGAGATTGAATTATAGTTGCTCCATTGATTTACTCCGTGTATTAAAATGCAAATGCAACACTTGTTTATCCATCAAAAGCACAAAATAGCAAAATCCGATAAGAGTTTTCTTTAGCACGTGATTCGATTGTAGTGGGGGTTCGATCCGAAAATGTTTAGAACACCGAAACCCGACAAAAAAAACGACACTCTGGCACAAAACACCACACAGCTGCTTTTGTTACTGCTGCTGCTGTTGATGTTGCTGCTGGCCGATTTTTTCTCTCTCTCTCTCTGTGTTCACGTAAATTCTCAGCTTACATTCGGAACTGGGGTGTTTGTGTGTGTGTGTTGTCGATAAAAGAATTCACGCTGCTCTTTGTTCACTCTCTTGATGTAAATTCACTGATATGTACGCATAATTGGCAATATCGCGTGCGCGTCATCATTTCGATGCGATAACTACTTCTGCTACGCTTTTGTTATTGTCTCTGCATGTTTCGGTGTTGTATTGGCTGCGTTGTACCAAAAACCATACCCATACCCGGGTGTGGGTGTGTGTGTGTGTGTGTGTGTGTGTGTGTGTGTAAATAAGTGTTTTTGTTATTCTTAAACGTTCGCAATCGCTATAAAATTGTGTACTGTGATTCGTTCCTTCCCATTTCTGTACTTAGTGAATGCCAAGTTCTTTTGCACTACTAAAACATTTATTTTTCTGTGTTTATTCCACATACACACACTAAACACCCAACTGACGATCCAAACACTGTGGCAAAGAAAACAAAACGTGGAAAAAGAAGAAGTAGAAGAAGAACGGCGACGACGTCTTCAACGAATATAAAAAACAGAAATATTCAGCGCACTCGATGTTTTCACGTTCCATTAAGTTTAATGCATTCGCACATATTGTGAATCGACGCGCGAGGTGCTCGAGCACAATGCGTAAATTTAACTAAACCATTGCGAACCATAACTTTTAATCGAATCAATCGGCGGTTGTTCGATGTGTTTTTTTTGTTAAATTCTGTTTTTTCGTTGATTATTTAACCTTAGCATTAATGTTATAAATGGCATCGTATCGAATACACTGAATTACGATAAATATGCACTTGAGAGAGAAAGAGAGAGAAAAAAAGCAAAAAATAATTTTGTTTATTATATTAAAAATACAATAAGGCTGAGTCCAAATGCTCGGCTATAAAATTTATGGCCGGCTAGAAGAATTTTTCGCATTTCTTGGGGAATTTTTGGGTGGATGAAATGAATTAGGACCAATAATGAAGACTTGACCCAAAAGTTGAAGTGATTTTATCGATTTTTTGGGATTTTTTTTTTTATTTTTTCGAGAAAAAAATGATTTTTCTGAATTTTTTTTTTCGACTTTTCTTATATTTTTTTGGAAAATTTCAATCGAATGGAACATATTAGGACCTAAAAAGAAATTTTACATCAGAAATTCTCATTTTTTTCGATTTGTTGTAATTTTTTTTTGTAAAATTTTCAAAGGCCCATAACTTCTCTAGCCGAGCATTTGGACTCAGCCTAAGTTTTGATAAGATCGCGATTCTTTTTTCATATTTATATTGCATTGGATTCATAAAAAGCCACACAAAAATGGGACGATTCCACTGTGGTCGCGGCGTTGAGAGAGTCATTGAAAAAAAAATTACAAAACAAACAAACAAATAAAGCAGTATTTAGCATATTTTTTCTTCTTCTTTTTCTTTGCGACGAATATCAGCGAAATGTTGACGATTGACCTTAACCACACTCAATACAGGGAAAATAATGAAATTCTTGTTTGAAAAAGTCATAAGAAGCATGAGTCTAATTGAATGAAAACGAAAATATGTGTGCTTGTTGAATATTGACTTTTGCTTGTTTAATCACCAGTCATTGTCACTATTGTCGATGATATTCACTTAGCTTTTTTCTTCTTCCACCGTCTTCCGTTAATTCAATGTAAACAAACCTGATAATAATGTTGTTGTACATCACTTCTATGTGGGATTTAAAGTGTGCTTCGTCTCATTATAAAGAAAAAGCAATAAATTTTGTTGTTGCCTGTTTTAATTCTCTCACGATATTCATTGCCGATTTGCCCGAACTTTGGCCGTATGTCGTCGTCGTTGTTGTTGTTGTTATCATCGTCATCGTCTATGCACAACGACTTTGCGCACAACTTGTGCTCAATGAATTGTATTCATATGATCAAGACGTGCATTCACATCCGACACATATGCTTACACGACACATAATATATTTCCTCATTAAGTAGCATTCAACAGCGCATGCATAACTTGATACCAATTTTCAAGATAGATCGATGCTTCTCTTTTTGCTAATTTTGTGATTTATTTTGATTGCAGTTCATGGCAACAACGGCAACAGCAGCAACCAAAACAGTTGCAACTGAATGGCGTACGCAATTTTGCCTGATTTTCTCACGTATTTAGTCAAAAGTTTATTAATTGACTGGTAAAAAATGTAAATTAAATTGCTCGAAAGAGATAGAATTGAAAGCATGTTGCTTGCGATAAATGGAGCGCTGTTTTTTTCGCCTTCCCTTTTCCTTCAAATTTTACTCTAAATTAAATTTGTGTGACATTTTAAGAGGTTTTCTTTTTGGTTGGAATGCCTCTGCTTTCACGGTGAAAATATTGAATTATATGATATCAAAATCCAAAAATAGCATCAAAAATCAATATTCTATTTCGTATTAATTTATAGAAACGTGCTTTGGAAGTTGGGAAAAGCTGAAAGGCATCGAAAACCAACCAACCGAATGGTATTATTGTGTTTTTGTCTTTAGTTTGATTTTTTTGTTGCTCGCTTACTTCATTCCCTCACTGTTCTCGCGTTGGCCAGAGAGAAAGCATGTTCGTTTTCCATCAAAATGGATGAAGCCAAATTAATGTGGAACGAATTTTCGGTTAGTTTCCTATTGTTCTGGATGAGATGCGACTCATTTATCTCACAGAGAGAGAGAGAGAGAGTTTCCCCCTTTTCTGGTTTGGTATTTTCGTTGTCATCGTATCCTGAGCAAAAGCAAACATCAGCAATTGCCGATTTTGTAGGCCATGCCAAACGAAACTCATTATCATTATATACTTCGACATTTAGACTTTGAGCCGTTGTGAATGAACGAGAGCAGCAACTCTGGCTGACGCAGAATGGAATGCCCTGAAAATCCACAGTGACGTTGAGAATCTGGTTTTCGTTTTTCAGTTGATTTACCTTTGTTTCGGTTTGGTTTCTATATTTATGTGCTGCTGCTGCTGCTGCTGCTGTGCTGCATTGAAAAGCCTTCATTAATTCTATTGATAACATTTTTCAGAATGGATCGGTTGGCCGAATGCCGTGAGTTTTGGGCTGAAAAACATTGAGAACAAGACACACACACACACACCGAGAGAGAGAGAGAGAGAGAGAGAGAGAGAGAGAGAGAGAGAAATGGCAGGACCACAGTAACAATGCCAGTTGTCAGTGAGAAAATGAAAGAACTTTTATGTTGTCTGGTTGCTATCAGAACTGTACACCACATAGACACAGAAAGTAACGGCTTTACCGAAATTCATTCTTGATTCACACAAACTTTCGTTCGGCTTTCATTTGCCATGTGGCTTCTTCGAGTGTGCAATTTTCGATAGCATTTTACACCATGACAATAAAATGCAAGAGAGAGGGCGAGAGAGAGAGAGAGAGATAGAGAAAAGAAACAAAAAACAAACAAACAAAAAGAAAGCCGAACTGAAACACACCGTACAAGAGAACAAGAAGAAGTGGTAGTCGTAACTGTGGAAAAGAATTAAGAGTCAGAAAATGGAATGGAAGACCTAAAATGAGAATGCCAAAAAATTGCCCAGCCACTGGCTGAACTGGATATGCGATTACATTGAAGTTCTGACAGTTGCATTCAGTGTCGACTCAGTCTTAGCAACGAACAGTGGTCACGGTCATCACGTATTATTTTCTATATATTTATATATATCTCGCATTGAACGACTGCTGCTGTTGGTGTTTTTTTTCTTCTTTCAATCGTACGTTCGTTCGTTTTGTTCGTGTTCCGTTCATTGGTTTGTCGTTAATTATTGAACGATGTAGTTTTCTGTAGTATGTCGTAGTTGTGCTTGTGCTCTATCGCTCTCTCGGCATTTATCTTAAATTCTAAGACCGATTTTGGTTCAAGTGTGTTCTTGATTCCATTTCATACATCTCCATCAAGCACTCCAAAGACTCTAATAAAAATCGCTTTGACACACTTTTCGACCATTTATTTTCTGCAATAATTAAAACGACTTAATCGGTGCAAATTTGTTAGCGTACCGCGTTTGTATGGATGCAGCTGTTGCTACCGTTGCCATTGTTGTTGCTGCTGCTTCGGCACTGCACAGTGCACACTGCAATTGAAATTGAAATAGAAATAGTTACATTGAAAGCGTCGATTACATTTTCATTAAGCAATTCATCATATTTGTGTGTGTGCGTGTGTGAGAATGTGCAGTTTGGCTTCATGTGCTTTGCACAAAACGATTGAGTCGGATATAGTTTGGTTTGAGCATTTTAGAGGTGAAAATAATTGAATAAGACGAGGAAGGGAAGGAAGGAGTGGCGAACGAGAAATATGATGAACATTTGCAACGGAAACTGCGTATTTACCTTTGAAATTCAATAGAGCGAGCAAAAAGAATTTAGCTCAGCAGGCAATAATCATCATCAGTACATCATTTTGCATAGCGAAATTCCAATGGCAAGCAAGAAAATGCTCACGGTTTTTTTCTTCGCGTTTTCAGTACGGGTGCTGAGAAAATAGTCCCCATTAGCAAATCTTGAGATGAAAATGAAATGAAATATAAAAACGTTTGACAGAAATGCTCGCGATTTGAAGGGTTTTTTTCTCATTCGGTTCTCAGTCGAAAAACACCCATTTCATTAGCACGTAATAAAAGTGATTCGAATCCACAAGCAAAAGTGGAAAAAAATTAAAAGCATTTTCACTTCGACCGCATTTGATTCATTTATGGCAAAAATATAAAACGTATTAACGACATTCTTTGGGTAATTTTTCTCATTCTTTCTTCTTGTTTTTTTTTTCTCGATCGCACTGGAGATTCGGTATCGTTTCAAGAGATATAATAATGTTCTCCATTTCTTCTCTTCCTCTATCGTACGTGCGTGCGCGCGTGCTTGTGTTTAGTTTGTGTGAGCAAGAGCGATTTTCTTTCGTGTGGTGGGCGTCGGTAACCTCTTTCAAATAATTTTCTACACTTAATTTTTATGGGTTACGCGCGCTCTTCCGATAGCCAAATAGAAATGGTATATTTGCGAACGAGCTCTTAATGTTTCACCAAACACAAAGCGCACTCACTCACGTTAATTAAATGCCGTTTCTTTCTCTCTCTCTCTCTCTCTCTCTCTCTCTCTCTCTCTTCCATTTGTTCTGTTGGGTTTGTTTTAAAAATTCTCGCTTGAAACGCTGTAAATTGAAACTGAAACGAAGATGTTGAATGTGAATGGAAAGCATAGCTCACCGATCATAAATATGACCATTCTTGTGCAGTGTGTGTGTGTGTGTATGTATGTGCACAATTTTCAATTTGTGGAAAATTGGTAAGCGTTTTCGGGTGAATTTCTTTGGTGATGTGAATGAAATGTGTGCGGTTTTTGAAAGGTACACGCACAACAACCACTATCGGCATCGCCAAAGCGAGATTCGGCATCGTTTCATTTTCCTTCAAAATTCATCACCGTTCGATACGGTTTTTATAGCTGTTGTTGTTGTTGTAGTTACTGGTGCAGGTGACCGCAAATTACTTTTCAGTTAGTCGAACCCGGTATTGTCGTCACTCGAGACTCTCTAACCCATCGTCGTTGCCACCATTACCGCCACCGCCGCCGTCAAACCGCCAAATTCATATGATTCTCTATATCGCTAACTAACACGTATATGGATAATCGAGAGCGTGCATGAACGCGTGAGCGCACTGGAAGCGCGCACACTACCCATCGCCATTCAAGAAATTCAAGTGCGATTGGCATACTGAACAATTTTTATGAATGAGTCTACTCATTATGCGACCAGAATAATCAATTTGTTTTAAAATGTTAAAATTGACACGCAGAAGAAATGAAGAAACAAAAAACTGGGCTAGTCAAAGCGATACGCATATTGCGCGCACGAGAGAAAGAGAGAGATAGAAATAAGTGACAAATCTCAAAATCTTCTATTGACACACAATGTGTGTATTCATTTTCTATTTCAAACATTTAAATAAATCACGTTACATGCCGAACACTCTATTCCACTCTGAATTTAATGAGTGAGAGAAAAAAAAAACAACGCAAAATATTCCAGAAAACAATACTTCTCATCTCGTTGTTTTTTTTTTTTTTTTGTTCTCTTCTTCTTTTTCCAGCAAATAGCTCGGCTTGATTAACGTTATTTCAATTGGTTTCGGCCATTGTAAGCAAGCGCATGGAAGTCTTTTAAGTGAAATATATAATTCATTGGTTCTTTGTGTTGTTCAGCAAAAAATTGTTGGTGTGAGTGTTCATTTGGTTTATTTTTTCCTCAAAACAATTTTTTCTCTGTATTTTTGGCCACTTAAAAACGAAGAAATCGTATCAAAAACTTATATTCAATAAGCACTCTCCAGTCTAACTCCAGTTAAAACTTTTTTTCTTCTTATTCTGCCCTTTTTTTTCTTCCTACAATACAGAACAAAAGCGGGAACATATTTATTTGGCCAAGCTGGCGTGTAATTTATTTTATTGATTTATTCGGTGTCATTTCGTAATTGGAACGGTGAAGTTTGTAAAAATTTACGGGAGAACTGAAGAAAGAAAAGAACGAGTGAACAAGAATTGAGAGAGAGAGAGAGAGAGAAAGAGCGAAAAGAAGACATCAAGCACACAGTGAAAACTGTATATAGTGTGTCCGGGCAAGTGTTTGATTTAATTCGAAAAATATCGGTAAAGTTGACTCAGAATTATACAGCAATTACATGCAAAGACGTCTTTGACAAGAAATATCAATTAAAAGTTCATTTCATTTAATGCAATAAGTTTTCATTTCGGCATTGAAAGGGGGACGTCTACGAAAAGTAGCTGAATACAGAGCAGTGGCAGTAGCAGCAGTCGACAGTGTCGTAAATGAAGTGAAATTACCATGCACAACGCTGACAGAGAAATTATTCGCCACTTTGGCATCGGCATCATCGTTGTCGTCGATCTTCAGAAGAGTTTAATCCGCCTTGGCCTTATTTCACTTGTCTTTTGTAAGTTGAATGCTCTCCCATTCCGCTCGTTCTGTTCTTTTTTTCACTCTCTTTCTCTCTCTCTATCTTTTTCTGTGTACGCATTTTTCGAGAGAAAAAAAGAACCGTCATCGGATTTGTGTTTCCAATTTGAACCTAAAATCAGTGACGATGGCATTGATATTTTACGAAATGCGTTTCAAGTTTCGGTTTTTTTTCCCTTCTTCTTCTTCTTGTTCATTAAATTGATTTCTCGTTTTGCAGTTACACTGCGGTCGCCATCGTCGTCATCAGTCGTTGAGTGTGCGTTCCCATTCATTTCGCCGGTTAAACATGAAGATGTGCCAAACAAATTGGATAATCGACAGAATCGATTACAAGTGAATATTGGACCGTGCAAGTGGATTTTTAGCGAAAAGTGTCCAAATCCAGATATCAAATTTTATTTGTATACACGAAAAAACCCACAAGATCGCCAATTGATACATGTCGATGAAACATGGGAAAAATCCAATCTGTCCGATTCGAATTTCAATCCAAGCGAACCGACCAAAATCATTTTACACGGCTACAATTCGGATATGTTTTTGACGCCACTCATTCAAATGAAAGCGGGTATGTTCGTTTCTATCATTGACAATCTGACCAACAACAACAATCACAAACGAAATAAAAAAAAAACGACCGAGAACTTTTGAACAGTGGCTCTGTCTCTCGATTACTCGTCCACTGAAATATTTTTGAGCGGTGTAATTTATGCGCTATCGCCGAAAACGGACATTTCAATCAGTGTGTTGATGGCAGAAAAAGTGCAACGCTCTCGCTCTCTATATTTAATGTGTGCGTATCCCCGCGCGGGGAGCATTTTACTAAGAATCGTTTACTCTTTTACAGAATATTTCGAAAGAGGTAATTACAATTTGTTCTTCGTTGATTGGTCCGAATTGGCACGGGCGCCTTGTTATCCAAGTGCTGCACATAATACAAAATATGCTGGTGAATGCATCGGTCAATTAGTCAATCGGATTCATGACGCTGGTTCGAGTGGTGAAAATATACATATAATAGGTATAGTATGACATAAACGGAATAGTTATCACTCTCTTTCTCTCTCTATCTTTTTCTGTGTACGCATTTTTATTTTCGAAAGGTTTTTCGCTGGGTGCTCATGTAGCTGCATTTGCCGCCAATCATGCCAAAAATTTTAAGATACGACGCATCACCGGTACGTACATAAATTCAACCACACAATTTTCTACTAAAGTTAACATGCACATGTACGTGGCGCACACATAATGCACGTTGCACATTGGGCAAAATTTATGGTTTTATGCCATTGGGAATTGCAATCCATATATATATATATATATATATACATACATATATGTGCGATAGAGTGCAAAACAATAATACAACAAAAGTAAAATTACAGCTCTTGATCCAGCGCTACCTCTGTTCATAACTGCTGCACCAGCCGATAAACTTGATCCGACTGATGCTGAATTCGTCGATGTTTATCATTCAAATGCGTTTGTACAAGGTCAGATTGAGCGTTGCGGAACGGTTGATTTCTACATGAACGGTGGTATATGTACGTATCATGACTAATTTGCACAATTTTCGATTGATACAAAGAATTTCAACGCAAAATTGAATCATTCTCTCATATGTGTGTATTTTTGATCATCAATTTACAGTGCAACCGGGATGCTTTTCCTTTGGATCAAGTGAGTGTGCCTGTGCATCAAAAATTGGGTGAATGGTCTTGGGGCATGTGTGTGTGTGAAATATGTGTCAAATAACATTTATCGCTTCGTTCTCTTTTCAAATTCTAGATCCATTTGCATGTAGTCATCATCGTGCCGCCGAATATTTTACCGAATCAATATTGAGTGATCGTGGATTTTGGGGTTGGAGTTGCAATAGCTACTATTCATATTTGCTGGGCATGTGTCCGCGTTCGAATGAATTGCATTTGGCTGGTGAAGATTGCCGTGATACGACAAAGGGAATGTTTTTAATCACAACAAACAGTGAATCACCGTTTGCATCGGGCCAATGGACATTACAGCAAACTACAAAATATCCATCGAATAGCCGACGGGATCCGTTCTTAGAACGCATCGATGAGTATGGTAAACTCGAGAGTGCTTTCAATTTTGCCAACAGTTACCACAAATTATCAACATCACCTCCACAACCATCACCATTCGTGTCGGTGCCGTTTCTATCGACCGGCAACTTTCGTCCGTATGAGCCGCTAACGAATCAAATAAATCAAAACGAGTTTGAGACCACGATGAATCACAACATGGATGGTGCTGGTGGTGGTGCTGGTGATAAATCGCGATTCGACCTGTACAATGACGGCGGTGATCTCAAGTTGAGTTCAACAACTGAACGATGGCGACAAAATGATAAATTCATACTGGTTGAAAATCCGCTGGTATCGGCCCTTAATCGTACAATGTCGGAGGCGATATTCCATCAACACCAGCTACAGCAGCAGCAGCAGCAGTCAGGTTCAAGCGATGAATTTCAATTTCCAAAGGTCACGTATCGCTAAAGTAATCAAGATTTAATGCGCGCGCGGCGATGAACGCGCCAGTTGCCGAGCAATGACAAACCATACCACATACCGTTCATATCACGGGCGAACGATCTATTTAAAGTGTAAAAAAAATACGCAGAGAAGAAAAATTATTCTATTTATATTATTTATTAATCATTTCATAGATGTAGAGCTTTCATAGTAAAAAAAAACACACAGACACACACACAACGATGAAATAATTCCATGAATGTGATGGATACGAGAGGGAAAAAACAAACTCGCAGACGCAGGGGAATGAGTAATGACTGTAAACTTGAAATTAACGTAAATAAAATCACTTGTATTCATTAACCTGGAAACATGACAATCACTTTCCTTGTGTGTCTTCTTCTTCTTTTTTATTTTCTCCTCCAATCTTTTTGCGTACATTTTTTTTTGCGGTGATGCTTTTGCATGTTACGGTTTTTTGTGCAAACAAAATTCAATGAACTAAAAAACGCGATGTTTTCTTATCAGTTGATAAAATTTGTTTTTTTTTCTCTCGCTATATTTTCCCTTCCAGTTACACGAACGATACAATGATGCAGAAATTCAATGTCAATGCTTGTTCAAATAAGTTGACAAGCAAAATCTACACATCGAACGTCCCAGAAAGAAAACGATGTGCGTCAACCGAAAAAAAAACGAGAGATTGCGAAAAGGGAACGTGCAAAAAAAAATCGAACATTGTTTGCATTTGAGCCAATGGAGACAAAGTCGATTATAACACAATGGGCACAATAATAATGGTAATAACAAAGAAAAAAAAGAGTAAAACGAGGCGTATAATGTGTGTATTGCGTAAAAGTCGTGTGTTTCGCACCGAACGAGTGCAAAGTTTGTTGTACACTTGAAATGTGGACAGGTGATAGATAAATAGATAGTATCTACGGGATGCGAGTAGCAAATATCGAGAGCAAGTGGATTGGCGCCTCTCATTCTCGCCGTGCAAATACGCACAGCGTAAATATCAAGTTGTTCGGCATTCAATTCGACGGTGAATGTGCAGATTTTCATTAAATAACAATAAACAGCTGATCAAATAAACGTGAAACGAAAAGAGCACAATGTTTTGTTGTTATGTATGTGGCTTGACGTTTTTCCATTCCTTAAAATCAGCCAACCGCCTTGTCGTCTTCTTTGTTGTTTGCTTCTCAGCCAAACGCATATCGTACACATACAGCCACAGCGCACGTCATGCTTGTGTCGACGACTGAGACAATATTTCAAATAATATAACCCAACGAACGAGCGCGAATTGTGCGTTTTCCTTTTCACTTAATTTTATGATTAAATAATGTTTAACCTAGACTATTTTATGAAGGCGCTTTTCGCATTTACACGTTCAACATCAATTAGGCATATCGTCCAAAGACTCCTTGCCGTTGTTCGCTCGTTCGTTCACTTGCCACAATGTGTCTATCTATTTCTCTTCCCTTCAATCAAATGCAAATACGTGCGATTTGTTTGCACTGAGTTTATTATTATCTTGTTAAATGTGTGTATTCATAGAAGAGAGCAAGAACACTTGTTGTTGTGTGTTATTCTCTTGACGGTTCTCGTTTTTTCGTACGCTTTGTGTCTCGTTCACTCTCACATTGCTGTGATATCGATTGTAATCGGAAGGATAGGCGTTAAACGATGCCATTTTTCTGGCTCAGTTCTGCTGTGTGTATTCTCGTTCTCAGTTGTTTTTGTACCATCGCGCCTCTATCTCACTTCATCATACTGTGTGTGTATGACTATAATTCATCGCAAACGTGAAACGAAACGAACGGAACGGAACGAAGTGAACTGTGTGCGTACTCATCCAGGCTGACTAACTCCAAAAATAGAGTAACAAAAAACAACGATTTGATTTCGCCGAATAACGCGCGTTCAAAAAACTCAATTTTGTGCATATCATTCAACGACTAAACGACAAAACGGAAACTCAAAACGACCGATCCAACTAAGAAAATTGTTTTTTTGCGTGTATAATTTTACGTTTGAAGTGCTCATCAAAAAAGGTTTCATTCGCACACTTTTCAACCCGGGTCGATTGCTGTTATTGTTGGTGGTGGTGGTGGTGCTGCTGATTCTGTTGCTGCTATTGCCGGTGTAAGTTGCTGTCACATTGTCGTTGTCGCTGTTGGCTCCTTCTCGTTGGCTTTTACTCGCACATTTTTGTACTTTGTACAAACTCGTTATTCTGATTTTCACCAGTGCAAAGCGAGCGAGGACGCTCACCCTCCTGCCGCGTAATCGCTGTCTTTAGTGCAATCAAAATGCAAACGATACGAAGAACCAAATAATAATAGCAGGAGAGAGAAAAAAAGCGAACGAAATATATTTAGCAAAACACAACAAAAATATATTTAAATTGACTGTGAAATTTGGAGGAAAAGGGTGCATTTTAATTAATTGTGCATGACAGTGATAACGAAAAATGCAAGCACAAAATTTCAAACTAATTTGCATGTTTTTAAATAGAGTTTGATAATGAAATTTAATGTACTTAGTGTGCGTACGTATGGTTTTTGGGTGCGCGACTGAGCAACGCGATATATTTTGTGTTCTGTCTACCTCGCTATCTCTCTCTCCCTCTCTCTGTCTCTGTGTATGTGTGTATGTGTGTTTATGTGTATTAGAGAGAAAGAGCGTGGTTGTGTATCTATGCCGATTTTGGCCACCAAATACTACAATGCGTCCCAAAAAGCATTTGCAAAGATCCGCTTGACGCCGCTTTTCGAATTGCTTTATTTGCATTTGGATCGGCCCCGGTCCGCAAACTTTCTCCGCTCTCGTTGAGCGTTCAACTTTTTCCACTTAGAATTATACACTCTTGTATGTTGAATGAAAATCCAGCCACTTTTTGTGTATGTTGCCATGTGCATGTGAGCGTTTGTGTGTGAGTTATGATGAAATAGTGTTCTTGGCTGCATAAATAACAATAAACTATTAGTCTGAACTCTCGCTTACATCACCAATAACGCACATGTATATATATAACTAATGTTGTTGGCCATCGTCGATGCAGAAAACTATATTGCAAAACTTTTTCCAGGATGGAAAAAATAACGAAAACAACAACAACCACACATAAATGAGTCTCGAGCTGATTCCCTGCCGTTCATTTTCTTTCCAACGGAAAAATGTGTAAATACCGGTGAGAATGGGAATGAAGCAACCAATAGATTTTGAATGGGTTTAGCCCGAAAAGTATATTAACAACCACAATAACAACAACAAGAGTTTTTTGATTGACAGTCGGCACTTCGTACAACTTAGTTTTCTAGCTAATTCCCAGGTATTTACAGCTGATTCAGAAGCGAATTCACCGCAACAAAAGATTCAACTTGTGCTTCTTTTTTTTCTGTTGTTATAATGGTTGCATTGAGCTTTTTTCCTTCTACTAGCGACCAACGGGGTCGAGTAAAATATTTATATATTTATGATGAAATCCATAAAATATCCATGTATACGTAATGGCTGCTGTTAAAATCACCGCCAAAGTCAAACGGGCCAATTAAAAAATTCCTTTCCTTAAATCCATTTAACCGTGAAAAATGCTTGTTGGGCTGTGAATTTGAGTGGAAAATTCGGGTCTTTTTCATATATATAAATTTACATTTTTTTTCTCTCCTCTGTTCTGTTGCTCGAAGTGAGGCGTTTTATTTTCGAAAATTAATCGAACGTTGATTTTGGCGTTGTAACAAGTTCAATATGTTTCCTCGATTTTTAATCATTGTCTTTCAATCATACTCTCTTTTTCTTTTGCTCTGTCGCTCGTAATATATTTGCCCGGGCGAAAAGTGTTCGACGCACGACGGGCGGAAAATTAAATACATGAACATTAAACACAAGTGGATATGGGATGCGTATGCTTGTAATCGCTGATCTTACAGAGAACATGCATATCTCTTTCCCTCTCTCCCTCTGCTCTCTGAATCTCTCTCTCTTTCTCTCTCTGCTCGCTCTAGCTCTCCATCCTGTCATTCTTTTTGGAAAATTTTGCTTTGTTGCATACTACCAGTTCCTAGCAAACGATTAAAATGTGAACAAATGTGTGTATGTATGTGAATGAAAGAGCACTTAACTTGTGATGGCAAACTAAAAAGTCAAATTGCTTAAAGCGCAAAATAGTTTTAAAGTTCATTTTCCCTGTTTAAAATTTACTTCGGCAAAATCTCGGTAAAAAAGGAATAGAGGGAGAGGGATTGAGAGTGCGGGAAGGAGTTAGAGAGAGAGACTCGAAGAGTTTCGATTTGGCGACGTTGAAAATCTGGGCTCGATCTTGAATGTTTCGAAAATTAAATTTTTCGGATGCAAACATTTGTGAACAATGTTGATTTCAGTTACAAAGGGTGATAAAGAAAACGAAGACGATGACAACGGCAAGTAAAAGATGAGCAAAAGATCTTTTTTTCTTTTTCTATCTCTATCGCACTCTCTGTGTATGTTCATTTCAGAAAATTGGCCTGGGGTCGAATAGTCGCCGTGTTTATTTTCATTTTCAACATAAAAGCGACGATGATATTTCGACAAGAGGTTTATACAAACACATGCACACACAGAGTATGATAATGATAATGCTCGTAATGGAGTGTGATACAAATGCTTTAAAACGGTGATTTTTTACACATAAAAGGGTCGACAATACACCTTTTCGATGGTTGAGCAAAAGCACACACAGAAAGAGAAAAAAAACCACTTGAAATAGTCGAATAAATAAACGCAAACAATTAAACGGTTAAAATGATATCGAGTATGGGTTGGAATGTTTTCTTGATAGCAGCGCCGGTTGTAGTGCGTTAGATTCAAGTGAAAGTGCGTGAATAAAAAGAGTATACACACATGTCGACCACAAAAACGACATATCAAGCAAACACTCATCGGTAAACGGTATCATATCAAGTGGATTTCGCATAGCATTTCCATATTGTACGAAGTGTGTTGTACGCGTGTGTGTTATTTTTTCCTCAATCTCACTCTCTCTCACTCACTCACTCACTTGCTCGCACTCCCATTTTCACACGCACAAAACCCCAAATAATAATATCTACGAATATATAGATCGAATTCACAATGTGAATTCAATTGACAAATGACTATTTAATTTAATTTAGCCCGTTTTTACCATACTCGCGTCCTACAATTTATTTCACGTGCACAACGTCAACGACGACACTTTTTCAATACAACCAAATTGTTGTGCACTTTTTTGCTGTCTTTGTCTTTCTCTCTCGCGCACACGCTCGTTCAGCTCGCTCGTCAATCCACAATCGGTTGTCTCTTACGCGCCCAACATAATTAAATTCACCCCGAATTTTTGGTCGGCTCTCAAAAATGGGTTAATGGAAATGATATGATCATTGTAGCGAATACACATTGAAAAGGTATTATATGCATTCCACTTTATGACCCACAGTCGGTCGCGCTGCATATTAAGCTGAAATGAACACGCATATTGAACAAAACGACCGAACACTTACTCGCTCGCTCGCTCGCTGATTCGCTGACTCGTTTGCACACATTTTTTTTTTTCATCATGATATTGCCTTGGTCGTTGGTGGATTGTTTTTTTTTTCGTTTAGTTGGTTGCCACGTCTCCAAACCAATATGTTCAATTTCATTTCATTTTGGCTGGAAGCGTCGGTACGCTCAATTTATGTATATTGGTTATTCTTATTTAATTACCAGCTTTTGCACGCGCATATTTTGTTTTGCTTTTTCTATCTATATATGTACACACACATATATAGATATCTCTTTGACGAATCCCTGTCCGAAATCGTTTGTTCCGTTTTTTCCCCGTTTATTTTGTGATGCCCGGGGAAATTGACTGAGAATCACTTAACCGTTCGTGCTTGTGAGTGTGCGTGTGCGTGTGTGTGTATGTCTGTGGTAATGTGCAGTGTGTAATACATAGAAATTGGCAATATCGTTGATGCCAACACCGATCGCTGTTGAATTCAATCGCAGTGGTCACTAATCGTTGCTGTTATAAAAATGGATTGATTTATTTGTTCAGGTACGAACAGCCAGCGGTGTTTCTCAAAATGTTGTTAATATAACCGTTTCTTCTTCGTTTGAATCTCGCCATCCGGTCAGAGGCCAACGAACACCAAATACAAAAGCAACATAGAAATGAAAAAAGAAAGAAACCAAACCAATGAGAGCACCAATCACCAATTCGATTCCAATGGCTGTAGTGCGATTTGCGTTTGTGCAAATCGCTTTTACTGGGGCGATTTTTATTATGTGGTTTGGTCGACCATGATTGGTAATAAAGAGAACTTAACATTCAAGCTCATTGAATGTGTTTGCAAGCCATATCTCGTACGTTACGGGCTGGTTTTTTTTCTCGGTCGTGTGCTCTCTCTCTCTCTCACTCTGTGTGTTCGGTATTAAAACTAGTTTTCAAAAGTACGACTTTATTTATGGAGGGATGTTTTTTTTAATTCATGCTTGCACTCTCCGTACTATCCACCCAGGTTTTTGTGCGCACTTTATTCGATGTGTATGCAACTCTTTTCATCGGGGTTTCGCATCCTAATGAATAATTGCATTTGTTGAATTTCTCAATGAGTTTCAATGTTTCATGAGCTTCAATTCAATGCTGGGCTATGTATGTGTGTGTGTGTGTTGCTTGCGCGCCCTTTTTTCATCAAATAATTGAATGAAACACCTATAACTTTAATTGATTGGATTGAAAGCAAACAAAAGCCGTTTTTCTGGATATTCTGGTTTCAGTATCAATTCCAACACACGAATTTCATTTTGTTGGGCTGATGTGTGTGTGTTTTTTTCCTGGTTCAATCATTCGTTCGATCGGTCGCAACTGCCCTAATTTGTTTTTGGTTTTACTGTTATTTTTGGCCTCTCTGTCATTATGTATGCATACAAAATTTATGTGATATAGTTTTGGTTATCGTTGCTTTTCATTGCATTCCAACATGATTGATTGGCATATGCTGCGTTTTTTGCGCCACTTACAATGTTGTTTTATATATTTTTTTATTCCTTTTTTCGCTTTTTGATTCGTGTGTGCTGGGCCCTGTCATTTGTGCATGAATGCTAAACGAATTTTCTATATGAATAAAATGTATGGTTTTGAAATGGACAGAAATAAAAAAAAATTAGTAGAAATGGTTGGCGCGCGTGTGGCTAATTGTTTACGTTATTAAAAGTTATTCGTCGGGGGTTTTGCATTGCATATAGTCAAGAGCGAACCACTAACCATTTTAACAATGTTTTTTTTCTATCACGCTCCTGTGTGTTCGTTTTGTATTTCATTTTACACCGGCATTTTTTTGTTTGCCTATTGAATTTATATGTGCTTTTATTTGTTCATTTCGGTGCAAACCATCCGGACAAGTTTTCAATTTGCACAAGAAAATTATTTTTTTTTTCTTTGACTCACACTCAAATCGGATTGAGAGAGAGAGAGTAGTGCATGCATGCGTACGTTTGTGTGGATTATGAATGAGAGAAAAAGAGAGAAAAAGAGAGAGAGAGAGAGAGAGAGAGAGAGAGAGAGAGAGAGAAGGGTGTCAGAGAGATTGATGGTTTTTCACAAATGACCGTATTGAATGGATATTAAATTAATTGCATTTCGTTCAGCGCATCAGTTTTAATCTTCCTACTCAGAAAAAGCTCCGACAACTCAGAGTTTCGAGTGTGAGAGACAGAGCGGCGGCAACGACGACGACAACAGCAACGAGAGCTTTTAATTCGAAATTAATCTGCCGTCGATCAGCTTTAATAATTATCTTTTGCAATTTTAGCGCATGTGAAGACGAACAACGGCGGAAAAACTCCAACGCAAGTGTGATACACTGTAAAAGGAGGAGTTCATTGAGCACAGTGCACCGTTCACATCGAACCAACGACAGACAGAAAGCGAGAGAGAGCAAACGCGTACTATAAATAAAAATGATTGACACAAACATTCGACCATTGAAACTATCGTGCTTGTTAATGTTAATGGTCATACTGATGGAAGGTAAAGAGAGAAGAAGGAGAAAAAAACACAAACTATCGACCATATTTCCGACTGTACTAATCTTATTAAAGTGTATCCGAACAACTATCCTTCGGTCGGTTTATTTTTTTCCCCGATTCTTTAACAAGCTGATAAATTATTTATGGTTTTGATGTAATTTTTTTTTCTTTCTTTCGTTCTTTTCGTTGTTGTGCGCTTTATTTTGTTCCCATTTGGTTTTCTTTCGTTCATTCGTTCGCACGCTTGCTTTTGCTGCTTCAATTCGATTGAAAAATTTATTTTTGGTGTGTGTATTTGTGTGTGTGTGTGTGTGTGTTGCGCGCACCAAATTACGATCCATATAGCGGTGATGGGGATGAGTATCGCGGCGGACGCATATACCGAACCAGAACCAAGCGAAACGTATGGCCAAGCAACAAACTATACAAATGAAAATGAAGACTATGGCGTGACTTGGATGTATATTCCCGATGGTGATGGCGTTCCACAAGTTGCATATCTAACTGAAGAAAGTGAAACATCTCGGGGCCGTCGTAAAAATGTCAAAGATGCTGTACGTTTTGAGCTGTACACGCAGTGAGTATTTAGCACCATATTGAATTTATAGCAAACATTTTCTTTGCTCTCTCACACTCTTCGTTCGTTCCTCTGTCTATATCTGTTCGCACAACATTGCATCCGCACTAGCCACTGCTAGTGGTTCGGTGCGATGCGGGGAAGGAGTTGTTTTGTTGGATGAGTGTCGGTTTGTGTGAGAGAGCTAAAGAAAATCCATTCTAAAGCGGAATGTTGCAAAAGCAAAATGCCAAGCAACCGAGCAAGCAAAAAAATAAATAGAATGAACAAGAACAGAAAAAAAAGAATTAGTAAATTGAGAATCGAAGCGAAATGATACAGGATATCGGGCCCAGCAAAAGTGATGCAAATGAACAGACGGAATCGGCGAAGTGTCGACGAATTTGCGGAAGCATTCAACAAAGATGTGCCAACATACATTGTGGCACATGGTTGGAAATCCAGCACAAGCAGCGATACGGTGCAGAATATCAAGGATAATTATTTAAAAACCAGATACTGTAATGTAATTGGTGAGTTTTGGTGTATGTGTGTTTGTTTTTGGTACATATGTATGTTGTTGTTGGCTGTTTTTCTCGGCACGGACAGCCAGAGTGTGGGATATTGATGGTAAAACGGGAATACCGGTCGCTGTCTTTTTATCCGAAAATTTCATATGTCGACGATGACGATTAATGTGGATGTGCTTGTATGTTTGTTTTTCATTCTGGTGGTTTCTGGCTGCTGTTGCTGCTACTGCTATTGCTGATGCTGTGTTGGACGCTAATTAAGCCGTCGATTGGACTGAACTGGCATCGAATAATTTTTATTTTACTCCAGCTCGCCAAACTCGAGAGGTTGGCAAATACATAGCCGAAATGATCGACTTCTTGTGCACGGAAAAAGGTGCTGATATCAATAAATTTCATCTAATTGGGCATAGCCTTGGAAGTCATGCGGTACGGTAAAAATCACATATAAATGTACACATTTTACCAACTAAAGCCTTTCCAAGCCATACCAAGCCGGTGGGCAAGCAAGTGGCAAGCATTTTGTTATAGCTAATACTTTCTCTCGTTCGCACATTGCACACATAAACATAGGTTGGATATGCTGGAATGTACACAAAGTCCGGGAAAATACCACGAATCACTGGTACGGGTAAAACTCACACGCACACATTATCACGAACATATTACCATTTCCGACACCTATATTTTCATTAAACCGTACAACAAACAAAACAACAACAAAAAATAAAGTCGCACATACACTCATCCGCATAACGAAAACAACAACAGCAGCAAACACACACAACATCTAACACCGTCATCATCATCATCTCCATCTCCACCACCGCACTAGCATCAGAAAACACCATCAAAACACATTGCAGGAAATAAGCAAAAGGGCTTCTGCAAATGGAGAGAGAGAGAGAGAGAGAGAGAGAGAGAGAGAGAGAGAGAGAGAG